AGTAGCCACCATCAAGAAGATCCGAATGGTTTCATATCGTGCAACATGGCTGAATGTCTCTTCATAATCTAATCCCCGTGTTTGTACGAAACCTCTTGCAACCAGTCGAGCCTTAAAGCGAATTTTTCCAATGTCAAATGGTTTCTTGCAGATGACCCAGCGATTCTTCAAGATTTGTACATCTTTCGGATGTTTGACCAACACCCAGGTATCATTTTTCTCTAAAGAATTCAATTATTCTTTAAGTGCCTTCAAACACTCTTCCCTGTCAGGAGACAACAGAACTTAAGTGTAGGATGTGGATTCTTGTTTACAGTGATCATCGATCCGGCCATGTAGACAAAATCTCTGCTGATCATCCACAATGCTTTCTTCGATTCGCGTTTGCTTTTTCTTGTTTCCTCTTCTTTGGCACCGTCTTCAGCTGAACATCTTCCTCCAGAGCTGGACACTGATGCAATTTCTTCAGCTTCACTCCATTCTTCTTCCTTTTCATAGTTGTTGATTTCTTCTGACTTTTGTACATCGGTTGATGCGACTTTTTCACATGAATCTTCAAGCTTGCCAGCATTGACGCCCACATTCTAGACAACGTCAGGCTTATATCTCACATCGTGGCTTAGGAGTATCTTCGAGTCGGAATCTAGAATCCATCCCTGTCGTTCACGTGAACCAGCTCGCGGAAAGCTTCGCTTCACGGAATACTTCGCCTCGCGATCCTTCGGAAGGTCGCAGAATGGCGACCGAAACGTCGGCACCTTCGCCATGGACGCGGCGTCACCCGGACAGCCTAGTAAAAATTGACTCCGGACGCGGAAGCCTACGCTCTCACTCAACTCTACCTGCTAAAACCATCTTTAAAACACATATAGTACCGCGCTTTTCCGAGAGATTCAGTCAACATGTGTCCGTTTACATCTGCGTGGATTTGTTTACCAGTTACTATCGATCGATTCATCCGTTTCTTGAATGGCAACCTATGCATATTTTCCAGTGCACATACATCGCAGAATTCTTCCTTGCACTCTTCCACGTTGATGTTCATCTGCTTCAGGACACTCTTCACATGTTGTTTATGTTGATGGCCAATCCTTTCATGGTAAACTTTGCAATGTCTGCGATGATGTCACCATATTCACTGGAAGTTGTTGCGTCAGCTTCACAATGCGCATGTTCAATACATACAGACCATGACTAATATATCATGTATTCTTCCTTTTTCCAGTGACTCGGTCTTCAATGCTGACACTTCGATCATCAAGTCCCGTAGAAAAACCCTTTCTCGCAGCTGCTTTCACTGAAAATAAATAGGCACTTGCTTCAGGAACATACAAAACGTTTTTCATTACGACATTGGACCAAGCATTATTGAGACCTATTTAAATGTTCACACTTCCCAGTCCATGATTCAGCATATTTACACATTCGCGGCAAACTTATCATACGATGTAATTTACTGTTATTCGATTTGTGGCGCCACTGTCGCTGTACCACTTGTCGGCTTCAATAAAGTTGGACTGGGGCACCCATGACATTCATCATAAACGTCTCGTTTGCATCAGACTGACTGTTTCCAGCAGCGGCATATGACTTCTTCTCCGGTCACTTTTCTACCCAATGATTCAACTGCTTACACTTGCTGAAACTTTTGTTTTGAACGTTGAACATACTTCTTAGATTTTCCCCCCGGTGTCCATGTTTGTTGTTTACACACAAAGTTCCAGTTCAGACTTGTAAAAAGCAGCACGTTCTCTTCAGACGTTCAATTTCGGATCCACCCTTTAGAGGATACGATTCGCACGTGGTCTGGGTCCATAACCTATTAATATCTTTGTATAAATGTTATTTTATTACTCAGCTTGAATATACAAAGTAAAAGTATTCGTAAACGATCGTAATAAAGTAAAAAACGATCGTAATAAAACGCACTGACTCAACAGATCAATCCAACCAGTTCTTAGTTCAAAAAGTGCTAAGAAACCTACAAAGATGGCATCACTGTCTGCATTTTTCTTTTCATATTATCAAAAATTATCTCGCTGTATTTTACCTGAATTTTAATTACATTTAAGTACTTGAATTGTAATTTATATTTAATTCATAAAAATGCAATAGTTAATTATTTAAGTTAAATTATAAATACATTGAATTAATATTTTAAAGAAGAACAAGTGCAACAATTTTCTTTAATAATTATTTTTTATCTGCGGGGCCCCTGGATCATCGGGGCCCGAAGCATGAGTTTAGCTAGTCAGTGCCCAAAGACGGCGGTGCCCTTCACTCATTTTCTCTCAAAAAATTAATCGGCAACTTTACGATGAGTCACCGCTGGGAACTTTGCGCTTCTGCAGTGAAGTTATACATGACTGGAGAATTGTTTGTGAAATAGCTGCAACATTTTTCAAATACACATAGACTTCACCTACTAGACCTAACATTCTTAAGACCTTTGCACTTGTATTACAATAAGGAAATAGGAAAATGGTCTCAAAGCAACCTTAGAAGGACTGTGTTTATATATCATATAGCAAAACAATTTTGAGAAGCTTTTGAAAAAATTGAAGCGGCTACTCTTCAAATTTCTGTTTTAAACTTCAGAACTTCTGGAATAGGTTTGTTTAATCCCTATGTATTTCCAGTTCATTTATACATTCCCAAAAGAACAGATATGTCACTGCCAGAACTGGAAAACTCTCCCAAAATGACAAGATCCATCTTTCACTCTACACACATATTTACTTTCAGATGAAGCAATCGAAAGTCTTCAAAAACTTTCCCAAAACCGAATGAAACGCCAAACTTCCCAAGGCACACAAGAATTAACAAATTAAAAACAAATGCTGTGAAGAGATATTTTAAAATTGACTAACCAAAATATAAGAACGAACAATCAGATCCAATAGAAGTAATTGTTAGTAATTATAATGATGGTGATGATCATCATCATGTTGTTTGTATATTGCTGAGATTTTTTCAGTCAGTGTAAGTTTGCTGAAGTGTTCCAGTTGTTCAAAGTGTAGTCATGCTGAGTGTGCTGAATTGCGAAAGCATAAAATGTAGTTCCTCAATTTGAAATCTCTGCCAGTAGGGTAGTTATTGCTTTTGAGCTTAAATAGGAGTTTGACTTTGATTCTTATAGATTTCTGAATATTTGATATATTACACAATTTCTTATTACAATTAACAGAAATCAATCTAAGATTATAATATAGGTATTAATTAAGTTACTATATATTTACTTTTTAGTTTTTGAGCACATTATTAGTACTTAATATTTATTGTTGAAGAAGTTCTTAATAATACTGGTTCTCTAGTGTGAGTCTACCAACAAGAGGATACACCAACTGACAGGCACGAGCACTGTTATACCATCACAAAGTAGTGCAAAATGAAGGAAGAAAATTGGGTAGCCATAGAAAAAGTTCCAGGAAGAATGTTAGTAACAAGACAGCATCAATAGAAAAATTGAGAAAGAAAAATCATTCAAATTTTTTAACTTAGAAACACATCTGTAGAAGAATTGGTTTCAATGTAGGCGAATGTTAGTCAATCTTTAGATAACCAATTCAAAAGTGAGTGAAAAAACATCATACATTGATGTAAAACTTTATAATACTTCTCCCAATTCCATTCTTGTTAAAATGAAAATGTAATAGATTTCCAAAGCTCTAAAATTATTTGTAATTGTTTCGTATTTGTAATTTTAATGAAATATTATGAACTATCATGTAGTTTTTTGGAAAATGGACATCCAAAATATCCGTATAATTTTCCATTCTGGCTAAGAAATTGAGTAGAAATGTAATTTATTACGTCAAATTTAATATCTGTTACAAACTAGTAAAGAAACTAAAATTTGATGTTGGTAAAAATTTAGGAAATTATTTTAATGCATTTTAGACCAATGGTTGCATTCAATATTTTCCTTATATACTGACCCGCACCTCTTGCATTGCAGTTAACATGGAAAAATGATGCAGTAGGAATGGATGAATGATGTTAGTTTCATTATAATCAAACATTTAAATCGATATACTATTGAGATTTATTTGTATTACTTCATTTTCAACTTTTTAATATTAATTCTTATATTAATATATTCTCATAGTACATTCAATATTGATAAATTCATATTGTCAACACATGAAGTACTATGAAATTTATCTGGCAAACTCAAGAATGGAAGTATTGACTTAACAGTAACATAGGGTACACTAAAGCAAGTGGAACTTATAAAATTGAAATATTAATTTGAGACAGTAATGAAATCTTCATTTTTAACATTATTGAAAGTATTAATCAGGTAGTAATAGCTGTAATCTTACATTAAAAAGGATATAGAGGAAGTAATTTACTCCACTTCTAGGGATGAGTGGAATCAACGAAAACTATTCTCAATCAAAAACTCATACACAATCTTAGAGCAATTAGAAATGAAACAGAATGTCTAAATTAATGCATATGTATCATAATTCAAAAAACATTAGATGCTTTCAACAATGCAATGAAAATTAAAACAACATACTGCTGTCTCTCTGTCTGGACCTCTGATATTCACAGCTTGGAAAACAAACATAATTTATGCAATTTAGTTCTCCTTTAAAAAACTGATGTGTGGGCAATTAATGGGATGTAATATTAATCCTTACTTTGTAACTATTGTAAATTCCACTTATCTTGCACGAATTCAACACTTTTGCTACAAACTATACCTTAATATCACTTAGTCTAATAGAAAACATATTTATAATTCTATTTACATATATCTACATGTTATTTTTAGTACAAAAGCACTTAGAAACTATAAGTTTCTTGAGAAAATTTTTAAATAATATACAATTTTCTCTCATAAAGTTTGTCATTTACTCTATTCACAATTAATAACTGACTTAATATTGTCATGTCTTATATTAGTGATTTGAATTTTTATTTACAATATTTCTTCTAAATTTTTAAATGAATTACCAAAAATATGTTACTAAAATTTTAAATGAGAAATTGTCTTCATAAATTCCAGATGTTCATAATTATAAATCCTCTTGCAACTTGAATACTTTAGTTCCAATGTTATTTGTAAACGGTAGCTGTTTGACTCTTTTGCGTTTAACTGGCTCATAAACTGTGTTGCCTAAATGACAAAATAAAAATATATTAATTTGATTCATTTATTTTCACTGGAAAATAAAAGATTGAAGAATAAGAATTCTAACTCTAATTTCAAGTAATTTAGGTTGGAAAATTAATGAACGTTTTCTACTTATCTTCTGTAAGCACAAATATTTAATGGAATGAAGCATTTTAATTACAGGCATACATCTTTCATATATTACAATACCATAATTTATTTCAATATGGAATTTCTTTTTTCAGAAAAAAATTACAAATATTACAAATTACAAATGTTTTTATTGTAGAGAAAAGTCCTGAAATGAAATAAATAATATTATACCATATGTTGAAGATGACTGCCTATAATTAAGATCCATAATTCAAAGTAATATTGATGCCTCTCAAATGAAATTAATCTCAATCTACAGATTGTGTTGTTTATTCTTCATCATTTAATTTAGTGGTTTTGTCACTTGTATAATCAAATTACAAATTCTCCTATCTAACAACACTCATTTTTCAATGGTAAGTTACCTAAGTATACTGAGAGAATGCCTCAGGAAATGTAATAAGTATCTGTGATAACACAAATTCAACACACTAACTTACAGGTCACATCAGAAGAATTTGGCAATTTCTCTTGAGAATCTTGAAGTGTTTGTATATTATCATATGACAGAGATTTGCCCATTTTATTAAAACTGAAACTAGTATCAGAAGAAGCTACATGTTGAATTACTGGTATACATGATTGGAGTAGGTTGCCCTTGTCTGAATTCAAGCTTTTCTTTTCCTTTATGTACATGTTGTATATATCTGTTGTCCGGGAAGATAAAACAATATCTTTGAAACATTCTATAGGGTCTTCTGCAAAAAATAATCATAATATGATTATGATGAACATTTAAAAAGAACTTGTTAATATTTTCAATAGCACTGAAACATAGTTTTACTGCAATTGACAAAGAATGTAATTTCTTGTGTGAATTACAACATGAGGATGGAATGATTTTTTCATATTTTTTTCTTCTAAAACCACATTTTTCATGATACCTGTTACATAAGATATAAAAGTTTCGTGATATTATAGACATCTCAATAGTTAATATATACCCATTTTTGTGATGGAACTTGAACCTGTAGTTTGCGAAGGAGCTGAGGTATAAAATACAAACTCAAAAGTTGTTGCCATATTATTTTAAAATAATATTTTTTCAACAAATAACTATAGCAACAATGTGATAAACGGATTTATGTACACTTATGTAATACGATTTATATACAATACACTTATGATATACGCGGAAGAGAAATGTAAACAGAAAAATAGCATAAATCTTCTTCCTTCGAATAGTTTACCGCTAGTACAATATTAAATCGTACGCCAACTTTAGCTCGATTAACATTTATAACAACAGCTAGAGAAACAATGACGGAAGGACGATTCGGGCTTGTTTTGAGACGCGGCTTCAGAGAGATGGGAAATAATTAAAAGTAGGGGACTTTATCAACCTTAATTTAAATGACCTGGGAATTTTGATGTTCATGTCAAAGTACTGAAAGGTTAATTACTGGTAATCAAATACACTGATTTTTGCGATATCTTTGTCTAAATGTGAGGTATCGGCTGCGACAAATGTAAGAGTAACGTAAGTATCCCAGAACGCATGCTGACGTTTTATTTTTGATCTAAGAAAATATGACCACATATCGGAATTTTTCGACAGAATTCGTATACTTACTCTAGACAAAAGACGGTTACTCCACTCTCTACTTCTTCTTTATAAAGTTTTAACCGGTTCTCATGCCACATGCCTTATAAGTAACTTCAATCCTCTGACACTAAATCGAGCTCGTGAATCAGCTTTGCTTTGTGTACCACGTCACAACACGACTTCATTCAGTAAATCATTCACCATTACAGCTATCCGAGCCTGGAATAAATTACCAGCGAGACTAAAACATTCAAATTCATTTAGGTAAATTCAAAACTGAATTAACCACATGGGTAAAGAATAACGACATATATAATGGCGCCATTAATAAAGGCTATTATTATTATTATTATTATTATTATTATTATTATTATTATTATTATTATTATTATTATTATTATTATTATTGTTATTACTATTATTATTATTGTTGTTATATTATCGTCGAATCTTTTGAATGTGCAATAATATAAAAGCGTTAGAATAATTATCGAAACCAGAAAATTATATCAAATAGCCTCGAGACATTATTTCGAAGATAAGTCTAACTAAACACACTTTAAAGGTCCCTTCTGAAAGCGATTTGTTTATTGTCGTAAATCGACCAGTGCAACGTTGAAGGACATTTTACTTAAAAAGGAGGACATTGCAAAGAAAATGACTTTTTACATGTTCATTCTCTTCGATGTATAGACAATGCACTCAACAATTCCAAACTATGTCTTTAAAAAACATATTAGACTTTCCGCCATTAAAAATGAAAGCTTCTGATTGGATAACTTAGTTCCCGCACTCACCATCATTATCCACCCAATAATAAGCATAAATAAGTGTTATAACACAATAAGCCTAAAGATCTATTATGCACGCCATTTATTTGAGTGAAGATGTAGATATTCAAGACATGAAGTCCCTTTATTTAATTGAATTAATTTAAAGTCATTCCACTGGTTTTTTTCGATTCATCAGGTCCAAAAAGAGAGCATTCCATGAAAGTTTAAAAAAGGAGAAGGCAGGCGGACAATGTTAGAAAAGAAAAAGTCCTCCAAAAGGAGAACAGATGGCAACCCTGGTTTTGTAAGCTTTACCAAAAGAAAAATTATGAAGCAAACGTGCATCTGAGCGAACAGATGTGTGCAACTTGGAAAAAAATGGGGACTGTTCTGGGGATCAGACCCAGGAATAAAAAAGATATTGTTAATAGGATGTCGGCCAAGACCGAACTGGCAGCGCCTGCGTTGCCTGCCATGCGCGATATTCCCACACTCCCTCACGTTGAATGGTCCGTTCGCACACACTACCTCACGTTCATTGGTCGGTTCGCACACACTCCCTCACGTTGATTGGTCCGTTCCCACACACTCCCTCACGTTGATTGTTCCGTTCCCACACTCTCCCTCACGTTGATTGGTCCGTTCGCCTTTACCCGGGGCAAGCATGCAGCCCCTCTCATAGGGTGACCAGACGCCCCAAATTTACGGGGACAGTTCTTTTTTTTTGAGTCCCTGTCCCGTTGAAAGGAAAACGTGTCGCTGAAGTGTCCCGTTTTTTGTGACAATAACTGATAAAGTACTATCAACAATTTTAAAAATAATGTATTTCGCTGCGTTTGCGTTAGATTATAAAAACGGAAGTAGATCATATGCTCATGTACCACGTAACGAGTGTTTCATAGGCTATTGAAATCAAGAAGGCAGGCATTCAGTGGTGGTTCGAGGAAAGGAAAGCGAGCTAGCGAGTCGCTTGAGCTCGTATTTGTTATATCATTATCGATATTGTAACCGAGAAATTCAATAATCCAACCCTTCTGCTTCTGCAAGTTTCTACGCGACTGAGCAAGCAATCATAATTGAGGAATATGGGCCAAATTTTTAATGGATTAAAAAGCAAATGAAGCAAATGGAGTATATATTTTTTGAATGTTCAATTCTATTGTTCTTTTTTGACATATTTTCCTCCAATTTCTGGTGCCTTTTAAACAAACCTTTTCATTATCAAATACGAAGACTAGTAATTACTGTTTCATACGAATACTGCCAACCCGTTATGTGCACGTGTTCCGTTTTTTAGTGAAGAAAGTGGAAGAAAAAGTCATAATGTTCCGTGTGTTGATTTTTAAGATCTGATCACCTTAATCTCAGAACATCCTTTCCTTTTTATTTTTAACATAACTTTTCTTTACCTAAGTATAACAGAATTGACAACAGTTAAAACACTAAAAACAGTTAAAATGTCTTAAGCAAATAGTAACACAATCTTTCATTCAGGAAGATTAGTCCCTCCTAATGATCTCCTTTCTAAAATTTCTCCTTGTAAATTTGATTCATCGTTATCGTCTACATTAATTTCATTTCCGCCAAGGCTAACCAACTCTTCCTTTAAATCGTCATTGTTGGGGTTAACTTCGGGTAGCGCTACAGAAACATCCACATCATTTTTCCTTTTATTATCAAAAGACCAAGCCGGGCCCAGCTCCGGGTGATGGATGGGCTCTCTTGACAGCTTGTTTACTTAGCGCATGTATGACGTGCCAACGATTTCTTCTGTATAATTTTCCCGCTACGTTAATAAGAAAAGATTTGGAGGTTGTCACTGAGCTCTGCCTTGTTTCGTATTTACGCATATATATTCCCCAAAATTTGTCTCCAATCTGAAGCTGAAGCAGGTTTCTGGTACAGTGTCTGCGGTTGTAGTTTTCTTTTTGTGTTTCCTTTATCCACTTCTCTTTAAATTGTACTTCTTGATTTTTTAAAAATGTCTCTAATGTACTGGGGAGCATAGGAATTGAAATTTTAACTTTTCGAGAGAACATCAATTTAGCTGGGCTGCAATCGTTCTCTAGTGGTATCGATCTATATGCAACTAATTTCGAATTAATATTTTTTGATTTGTTAAGACTTTTTTTTTGCTATTTTTGCCGCGATGTACGCTTGCCCATTACTCTGCGGGTAATATAGAAAGCAAGTGACATGTTTAAATCCATTATTATTTGCTAATTTACCAAAAAATCCGTTCTAAATTGGGGTCCGTTATCGCGGAATAGTAAACCTAGCAAAGGATTCCTGACAAAGGCATATGATTTCTCTCTTTCTATCTGACATTTGCTTTAAAGTACATATTTCGAAATATATAGAGTAATAATCAGTAATAATAAAAAAAACACGAATCACATTTAAATAGATCTGAAACTACCTTTTGCCAGGGGCGCTCTGGAAAGTCGTCTGAAACAATTTTCTCTTTCGTATTTGATCTACATTCTATACATTCCGGACAAAATTTAACCTGATTCTTAATTTGCATACTTAAGCCTTTCCTTCAAACCGCTTGCTGAGCGCGAGCAATTAAAATACTGGGGATAGTCCAATTATTGAAAGCTGATCATTCATCACACCCACTGCTATCTTCATTTTTCGATAACTAATGCAATTTTTTCACCGGAAACGATTAGGACGCATGATGCTCTTCTAGAAACACCTATTTTTCTTCGCTCGTTTTCTTTGGGACTAATGCACATTACACAGAGTCGATATTGTCCCATGATGCATAACAGTTCGCAATACATGGTGGCATCACTAACTCCATTTTCCCAATTTAGATCCAATGCTGTTTTTTGGAGAAACCCTTCGATTACTAGTGTAAGGAAAGAATTATAAGAAAAGATAATAGTAAGGAAGAAGAAGGAATTGTGGAAAGAAAAGTAATGATGTATAGGAGTTTGGATAATTTGTTAAGTTAATATACAAGGGTATTAAACAAACAACCAAAAATTATAATAATATTTATAGGTTGGGAAGACGCCGAGAATGGAATCGTGTTTGTGGGTGCTTTTTAATGTTGTGACGGGCAATAACGAGGGAAAAGGTGCAGAATGGGGAGAGACAGATACAAGAAGAGCAAGAGACATCAAAATTAATTATGAAGAAAGAGAGGTGATAAAAACGTTGGAAGTGAACTAATGTATATAATAAATTGTAGGAAGAGAAATGAAGGAGAAATGACTTTTCAGAGAGGGAAAGAATCCAGTCTGGATTATATAATAACAGGGTGTAACAGATTACCAAGATTAAATAAAATTATTTATATTAAAAAATTTAGTTGGACGAAGACGCCTAAAATGTTTTAAACTTTTGCAATTTTTGGACAAATTACATCAAGGAAAATCTATGGAATCAATAACGCAATTTGGTAAAGTTATACAATTTTTGTAATTTTCAAAAACAGTGTTCATCAGACCTGCACCATTTCTGTATCAGTTTCGTACTCTATTCAGGGATAAAATGAAAAGAAAAAAATATTGAGTAAGTTCCAGTCTCCTTCTTATGATACTGTTCGTACATTAATCGGACAAACTTATTCCTACCAGGTAAATTTTTCCCCTCTGGTATTCGACGTCAATTTCTTAGGTTTTGAATGCATTTATACTGACCTCGCACAGATTTATACACAAAGCCCTTTTCATCGTTTTAAAAATATCATTCCACATTTCCATTTTAAATTTTCAAAAATTCAGTAACTTCCATTGACATTATTTCAAAATCTAGTTTTAAAGAACAAACTAAATAAAAAATACTTTCTTCAACATTTTTAATGTACGTAAACGCCGAATACATTTTTAAGTTTTGAAATTTTTGTGTGTAGAGAAAGTTTAACGAAAATGAGGCCTACACAATTTGTGTAAACTTACATTGCTCTATCCAAGAAAAATGTTGCGATTTCTGTGTGTAATTCGCAGGGACTCGAGGTCGACTAGAGCGATTGAGAATTGTAAATTTTTGGAAACTCGTTTCGGAGTTTAGGAACCATGATCACAGTTAGGCAAATGGAAAAGTACTGTCGAACAGGCGAACAAACGGTGAATAGGACAGAGAGACAACTCATAGACGGAGAGTGGAACACACCGACAGACACACAGATGGACAAGCAGTTTCTTTTCAACCAAATTTTCGAAATCAAGGATCCATATAATGTGTATTCTTACTACACAACGTATTGTGATAACTGTTTGACAACATATAGAAGCGGTACATACTTAAAAATTTCAACGAACTCAATAGGTTTATGATTTCTGACTTTTATGGGCATTAAAGATTATCCACTTTTACGAGAACAGAAACCCACACATTTTTGTGGCAAAACCCACCATTTTCCGCTGCAGCATTACAATTCGTTCTATTTACTACGTAACTCCGTGGTACGCGAAAGAGTAAAATTCGCAAAAGGCGGTCGAGCGCTGCCGTCGGGCGAGGGCCGCCGCCCTGCTTTCCGCCCCCGGCGCCGTAGGCCGCGCCTAATCTAAAAGCTAAAAGCCTAAGGGGTGGGTTACTGGACAGGCATCACTTCCTGCAGCGGGGCAACGACGCCAGGTAGCCTTCTGGACTTCCCCCCCCCCTGTGCCTACAGCGCCCCCGGTGCCTGCAGCGTCTCCGGGCCCTGGAGTCCCCCGGGCACTACTTTGCACGACTGGCGCTCTGGGCTCCGGGCCACCCGTTCGAGCCCCGAAACCCCAAGTATTGGTAGTGAGCCCCAGCGCATACACGGAGACACGCGGCCGCCAGTCTGCCATTTTTGCAACTTTCAAAAATTAGTTCTCAACAAATATGAGACCTACACCATTTTCTTAACGTCATTCACACAATCCAACAACAAAATTTAATCAAAAACGATGGATCCATTTTTTGAAAATTTGGATAATGTCCCAGGGTACCTCTAAAAATTAAACTATCGCTTTCAAATTCAAGGAAATGAACAATCAGCCTGATCTCTTAAAGAATTTTTGAAGAAAATCGGCTAATCGATTTAGCCACAAGCGTTGCTCACAGACGGAGAGACGGACAGACAGACGGAGAGACGGACAGACAGACGGACAGACAGACGGACAGACGGACAGACGGACAGACGGACAGACGGACAGACGGACAGACGGACAGACGGACAGACGGACAGACGGACAGACGGACAGACGGACAGACGGACAGACGGACAGACGGACAGACGGACTTATGAACTCGTCTCTTCACGCTTGTTATGAGGAGCTAAAAAAATCTATAGGGTTCCATTTAAGAAATCGAAGTTGGGTCAATATCTCCGCAATAAAAAAATTCAATAGAATAATGCATTTTAGAAAGTGGTTCAGGAGAAAATTGAAGGGAACATCTTAGGTGGGCCACACGGAGTAATATATTCTTATGCGTTGCTTCCCAATACAAATTCTCCACTAAACATTGTGATGAGAGTTGTACAATCAATGTCTATTTTGTTAGTGGAATATTGCACTTATTTATCGATCAGAATACAATGAGGTTTTTAACCACTTTTGATCCTTGAACTGTGGTAATTTTGTATCTTACTAGGGTAGTGCCTTCGAGGTTTGGCTCATTGTTCCATGCTCTCTTTCCATGACGCGACCCCGGGTTCGATTCCCGGTCGGGCAAGAATACACGAGTGTGCGTTTTCCTTGCGGTGTTCCAGTGTATGTTGCTGTGTGACGATGAGAAAACGCACTGCTCAAAACTCACCAGTCAACTAAGCACACGTCTTCCCGTTAACCTACGGCCGCGAAGCCGGTCCGGCCGGGACGCTGCCAGTAGACCCTGGCTTATTCGCGGGCAACTCGCCAAGTACAGACATTAGAGTAGTGTGTGCTCATGAAGTGCATTGGGTTAAATGGAACCTGAAGTCAACTGGTCTCGTTTTTTTGGGTTCCAGTCGCCACAATACTTTGAATATTTTCAATTTTAGACAATAGTACTGTACGAATGGTATTTTTTACGGAAAAGTGACTATTTGTATTTACAATTTATTAGTGTATTCATACTCATTTCAAAACAATAGAAAAACAAATTGAACTTTGGTGTATAAGGCAGATAGAAATTCATATGAATAATATGAAAATTATAATGCCATTTCAACTGTTAATGAAAAATTTGGCAAAATGCGATAATTGTCCTTTTCCAATCTTACATTTTGTGGAATCTTGCATTTGTGGGAAACAAGGACAAATAACTCACTGAATAATGAGTTATTACTGAAATCAATTTTTTTCAGAAAATGTATTAGTGAATAAATGGAAATTTAATGTAATTTTAACGTTTTTGAGATACCTTTGAAGTTAGAAAAAAAAGTATCGAATACAAATTATTGTAAAATCAATATTTTTATCAAACAATATATTTTACTATATTTTCTTGAGATCTGTTTTTTTAAATTGTAATCTATTGTTATTTTGAGGTCTCATATTATTATATACTTAGCTCAATAGAAAATGTATCCACAGTATAACTATTTACTTTGATCTGCATGATATCTTTATTATAAAATCACTTTTGATTTGATATGATATGACTTGTAAGAAAAGTATTAATGAGTTGTCTACATCCCTAGTTTAGATCACAACAATACATATTTTTTCTTGAAAATATAACCCATTGTTACTTAATCTAATAGAAAACATAGTCATAATTCTATTTACATTTACCTAAACGTTATCATTACAACAAAATCACTTAAGAGACAAAAGTTTCTACAGAAAATTATCAAATAATGGTGAATTCCTTCTAATAAATTTATTTTACTTCTTTCACAAGTAATAACAGGATTAATATTGTCATGTTATAAATTACTGATTTGAATTACAGTTTACTTTCACATATTTTTTTAATGAATTACCAAAAATGTATCACTGAAAGTTTACATAAGAGATTGTCTTCATGTATTCTTTACGTCCGTAATAATAAATTCTCTTGCAATTTAAATTTCTTATTTTCAATCTTCTTAACTGGTAGCTGTATCTTCTGTGTTTGATAGGCTCATTAACTCTGTCATCTAAATGAAAAATAAAAATATTTTAATAAACTTGATTTATCTTTGCTGTTTTCACTTGAAAAAAAAAAAAAGATTAAAGAATAAGAACTAACTCTAATTCCAAGTAATTTAGGATGGAATATTAATGAAAGTTTTCTATTGCCCATCTGTATATATTTAATGCAATTATGCATTTCAATTATAGACATTCAGTATCTTCCACATATGGCATGATGCCATGATATACCATTATGGATCTTCCCTCTACAGAAAAAAATATTTTACAAATGTTACAAATTACCAATGTTTTTTGCAATAGAGAGATGTACTGTATTAAAATAAATCATTTTATGAGATATGTTGACAATGTTTTACTGTCTATAATTAAGATACATAACACAATAGAATATTAATGCTTCTGGAATGAAATGAACTTCAATCTATAGATTGTTTTGTTTATTCTTTATCAGTTGAGTAAATATCATTATCACTTGTGTAATAAAATTACTAACTTTCCTACCTAGCAACATTATTCGAGGAGAAGTTAGTTAAGTATTGACGGTTTGCCTCAGAAAAGGTAAATAATAATACAAATTCAATACATAACTTACACGACAAATTTCCTTTTCCATCATATACATGTTGTATATATCTGTTGTCCGGGAAGATAATAAAGTGTCTTTGAAACATTCTATAGGGTCACCTGCAAAAGTAATGACACACTAAAATTTTATATATGTGAGAATGAGTAAATTAACCAAATCTTGATTAAGAATAAACCAATAGAAACCAATTCTTTATATGATTATTATAACTTTGGAAAGAATGGGTTAAATTTCTCAACATCACTGATATATAGTTTTACTGCAATCGATAAAGCATGGTGAATAAAATTTTTTCATATCTCTTTCATAAGAAATAAAAGTTTTGAGATGACTGCGAAGTCCATTAAATACAAAAATGACTGTAGATTTATCTCTGTAGTTAATATTTACCCATTATTATTTCGATGGGTCTTGATCCAGTAGTTTGCGAAGGCGCAGATGTATAAAATACATTTTCAATGCTTCCCATTATTAGATCCAAAGAAGAAAATTAATAAATTACTATATTAGCAATCAGATAAATGAATATATGAATGATAATATACACTTATTATACACGCGGAAGAATAAAGAGACAGATAAACAGCATAAATCACGTTTCTTCACATAACTTAGGGCTGGCACAATATTAAAACATTCTCCCGCAATATTTTCTCCTGTACCAACTGCCGAAGTTCCATTGTTTCAAGCATCATTGTTGTTATTAATTGTTTAAACGATACGTCGATTAAAACAATGAGTCGTTGACCCTTGATCACCTGTGACGCCGTCATCCAATCGGGAGCTTACACGTCACTATAGTGACGTCATTATGGTGACGTTTAATGTCCCGATTGAATGAAAAAATGACAGCTGATCAAGTGTCAACGACCTTAATGTTTCAATGAAAGTGTAGATGAAGGTACGACAACTGGCTAGCGTAGAGCATTGGCTTCTGAGCGTGAGGAAATAATTGAAAGTATGGTGATTACCTTATTTGGAATCAGCCGGGAATTTCGATGTTCATGACAACATATTAAAATGTTAATTACCGGTATTCGACTATTTTGATTTTGAAATATCGTTATCGAAAAGTGAATGTCGTCAACAGCAAACGTAAGAGTAATATACATCGCTTCTTTCGCATGAGCAATAATGTAAAGTGTATAATTGAAACCTTAAAATGAGATAAAATGGTCCAGAGACATTATTTAGTAGGTGAAGTAGTGCTGTGTGAGAGGGGGAGGGGTAAATTAAGGACAGTGGTATAAATAACTACCACCGTCCCGGCAGGTGCAAATACCTGGACACCGGGCAAAAAGAGGCCCCCAAAAGCATTTTTGGGGACTAACTCAACACGCTTTAAAGGATGCTTCTGAAAGCCATTTGTTTATTTCTTCAAAACAACTGGTGTAAAATTTGAATTACGTGTCTTATTACTAGGACGCAAAGATATTTCCAAATTTGACGTCACAGAGCCTCAATTATTTATTGCTTCGTTCAAAAGTGTGCAGACCAACAACTAAAGCGTCAGTGTACTCCTAGAAGGTCCAGCAGAACTGATTCACTTTTGGCGATTCGGATCCGATATGTTGATGTATGGAAGCTTTATCAAAAATAATTTTAACAACAAAAGCGCGTCTTAGCGAGCAGATGCATACTACGTGAAAAAAGCAATGCAGATGTTTGAGTTTAAATTCCAAGTTATATTGCGTCAAAAAAAATTGATCGCAACTGACGTGTCTCAAAATCAGAAAATATCTGAATCTGATCTTGTCAAGCACAAGCATTCGATTGAAGTAGCTCGCAAGGATCTAAATGATTTGAGGTGACTTTGACAAAGCCAAATCCGTTTTCGGATAGTTTGCTAGATCGTAAGACGTCAATTTTTCCCTAAACACGTAAAAGGAACAAAAAACAAAAAATAAAACATTATTTCGATGAATTGTGCTAAGAGCAACTTTTATTTCATGGCAAAAAAAACGATTCAAAATTAAATATTACTTCGCTTGTTTAGATCTTGTGATTAGTCAGCTGACCTATCGATTTATTGGCTAGAAATAAATAATCTATTTGTGACTTCTTGGCTGTTCGAGTGACGCCGCGTCGTACAGTGAGAGGCCGACGTTTTGGCTGTCATGTCCCAGGCTTTCTCAGGGCAGTGAACTCGAGCCTCGGAAACTTACGTGTACAAATAATCTATTCGTTTGCGATCATTCAGCCCCAAACTTGTAGCTTTTAGACGAAGAACGTGGGATCAATGCAAATAATTCAGCGAGAAATACTATGTTGACGTAAATGATCAACTTGTCACCCAGTTAATATCTTTGCATTGCTTTCTGCGAGATCAAATTTTGAATATCCATTAAATCAGAGATATGGCTAACATGGTCATCATCAACTCTTCAACTAGCTTTCCAGACGACTGCTTAGTAAATTTACTGTTTCTAAGCATTCCTGTGACGGTTGCCACTGCAGAGCGATTTTTTTTCTTCATTGAAAATGATTAAAAATTATCTGCGAACTTCTATGGGTCATGAGAGACTGAGCTTATTGTCCTCAGATAGTAAGGTGACGAAGTTGTTGAAAGCAAACCTGAGGGACGTTATCGGTAATTTCGTCAAAGCCAAAATCCGCAGGGATCGATTCTGAATTTTGTGATTAAATATGATTAATAACGTTTATTTCAATTAATTTTCCGAATGCTTCTTTGCAGTTGAACAAAGCTTTCTTGAAGGGGGTAGTTTCAGTTTAGTTTTTGAACGGAAACCCCGGGAGGGCTATTTATACCTCTGGCTAAGGAGGAATATAATTGAAGGGCTTTTCGGAAAAACAGCATTATTTCAAGAATCCATTTTGTGGAAAATGAGAAAACACTACGCTACAAGAAAAAAACGCGCAGCATTACAAAATAGAAAAATAGGAACCCCGCATTACATCACCAAAATTATCCGCAGTTTTCTATTCAACAGAACATTTTCAGTTAATGTTAATAACCATCACTCAACCCCCAGGCAAATACATGTAGGCCTCTCCCAAGGATCATCATTAACCCCCACACTCTTCAATATCTATGTAGCAGATTTACCAACACTAAATTCTACAAATAATCGCCCAATTTGCGGAGGACACGGTCCTATTTTCCTCAGGACCTGATCTTTACAAAATACGTAACACAATGTAACTGTATTTTAATCAATCAAAACAAGAGGCAATCTCAGCATTTGCTCGAGAATCAGGGAAACTGGCCAAAAACCTGATCGAGATGGGGGTCATTGACCCAGAAGCTGAAGTATAATTCTTGTTACAGGTTCTTTAGAATTATACAATCCAAATGGTATATATTACATTAAATGTCCTTGTTAAAATGAATATTACTTTCCTTTTGGATGCTCGGTGTAGTCTCTAATTGTGTACTTTGCAATTTCCCCCCCTCCAGTAGCCCTGGCGAGGCGGGAGTTTATCGTCATGTTTGGGTACATGCGCCGCAGCTCTGTGGCTTATGCGGCAAAGAAGGGGGCAGTGCTTACTTATTAACTTATTTCTGACCTAACCTATGGATGAAGCCGGCACTTTGGCCGGCAGTTGGCTGTCAATAATTGCATACCGAGCATCCAATTCTCTTACCTTTCCTGCCCGCGCTCGCTTGCGGCGGTGTCCTCGCTCCGCGCACTGGGTTGGCCGTCGCCGTCGCCGTCTCCTCGCGCACCGCACCAACTCCAATCCAGAATTCCAACATCCCACTCCTCGCTCGTACGCAGCCTCGTCTCTGCCCCGTCCTCCGCACAAAGAACGACGTCGTGCTCCCAGTCCGTACGTCACGCACACAAAATAATATGGTTACTAGTGGGCACAACGTATTCTCAATGTGAAAATAAAGACTTTTCTGCGTTAGTTTTCATTTTTTTAGAATACTCTGAGTTAAATCTAAATGTTGAAATTTTTACTTACGTTTGATATTACAGCGATCTAGCATATATGCCATTTTTAGATTTTTATCTGGTCCCCCAAAAGATATATAACAGTTGAAAATTTGGTTAAAATCCAAATTTTCAATATTTAAGAGGATGTAATTTTCAAGTGGTTCGTTATTTTCCAATGATGATTTACAAAAGTAGCTATACTGTATGTGTAAAAGTAAAAGAAAAAATTAAGGCTGCGATTATATTCCTTCTTTGATCGATTACTCTCTGAAAATCGAATTTCGTTCATTTGAACACCATATAAAACATAGAAGGTCTGTAAATAATATTTCGATTCGTAGGCCAGAGAATACTGAAAACAATACTTTTTTTATTCTAGAATGTTAGAACAATTCAGAGCTGTATACTTTATGAGAGTAAGTGCTTACAAACGCGAAAAATGGCGCAGGGCGTAAACGGCAGGAATAATGGACGCCATTTGTAAGCCAGATACAAGAAAGATATTAAAGACGTTTTTGAACATCCAAAACATAAGGAAATTGATGTACAAAATATGGTTTTCGAGGTGGTCGAGCAACCAGTGCTGGACCATCTAAAATGGATTGACACCTGTTCATCAAATACAAATTATTGTAAAATCAGTTTCAAAACCAAACAAAAAATTTTTCTTTAATTTGTGAATTTGTGAAGTTTTACAAGAACTTTACAATTGTAATCTATTTTAATTTTGAGGCTTTATTAAATATATTCATTTCATGAATTGGCTCTTTACTTTCATCTACATGACATCTCTATAAAATCACTTGTCGGATCATATGGTTCTACAGAAAATTCTCCCGAGTTGTATTTCCATTGCATAGATTTCATCGATGGACTTTGAATTATAGAACATCTAAACTAATTTCACTTAGCATAATTGAAAGAACTATGCCATAAGTATTCTCTATTTACCTTTATCTAACTTATCTTTAGTACACAAAATCACATAAGAGACCATGGTTGTAGATATAATTATCATTTTATTTCGATTACCCTCTATTAGATTTTTTCAGTAAAATTTTTTCACAATTAATAACTGGATTAACATTGTAAAGATATAAATCAGAAATTTGGAATTTTAATTACAATTTACATTCTTATATGTTTAAATGAATTACTGTAAATATGTCAATATAATTCAAGATCAGGATTTTCTTCAAGTAATCTAGATTGTTAATTGGATTGTTGGTGAAGTAGATACCTTTTTTATTTTGATAAATAAATAGAGATATTGTGCAGGTATCAATATTTTAATTCAACTAATGATCATTTCGATCGCGTAGCGATCATCCTCAGAGCTTGCAGAACTTTGTTTTCGGCCCAGAAGCTGCAAGCTCTGAGGATGATCGCTACGCGATCGAAATGATCATTAGTTGAATTAAAATATTGATACCTGACAATATCTCTATTTATTTACGAATCTAGATTGTGTTAAAGTAATACCTGCGACTTGATTTTTTTAGTTCCAATTTTTTTGTTGTACGATTGCTGTATCTTCTGCATTTACAAGGCTGATAAACTGGGTCACCTAAATGAATTTTTAAAAAAAATTATTAAGTTTTTAACTTATCTGGGCTGTTTCCACTTTAAAATGATAAAAGATCATACCAGTATGCAAGTTAAAATATTACTGCCTATAGAATGAAATGAATCTCAACCTATAGATTGTTTTGTTTATTCTTTATCACTTTAGCAAGTAGAGTTATCTCATGTTCAAATCACAAAAATTCCTACCTAGTAGCGCACATTCTTCAAAGGTACGTTAGCTAACTGTATTCATACAATGCCTCAGAAAATGTAATAACCGTTTGTGATCACACAAATTCAAGATATTAACTTACATGTCACATCAGAAGAATCTTGCAATTTCTACTGAGAATCTTGCACTGTTTGTATACTAGCTTCTGATGGAGAGTTGTACATTTCTTTAAAGTTAAATCTATCATAAAAAGAATCCACCTGGACTATTAAAGGTGGAAAAGACTGAACTACTTTTCCTACATCTGAAATCAAGTTTTTCTTCATGTAACTATTATATATATATATATATATAAATATTAATATAATATTACTATATAATATATATATATATATGCCGAAGAAGATAAAAACACATACTTTTTTTATGACATTTGCTGCAAGGTTATCTGTAAAAGTAATGAAGCACTATAATTTTGCATGCATAAATGAGTAAGAAATCACATCTTGATTTAGTAATGAAAGAACAGAAACCAATTCTTTTTTACGATTATAATGATGAAAGTTTGGAAAGAATTCGTAGTTTTTTTAACAGCACTGAAATATACATTTACTAGAATTGACAATTAGGGTTGCAAGAGCTATTCGAAAGAAAAACCGGGCATTTTTTTTATTTTTTACTGGCTCATTAAAAATTTTTGAAAATGAAGAGAAGTTTAAATTTTTCTTTTTTATATACCGGACATACTTAGCATTTGATGCCACTGCTTTTGATGCATTTTGACACAGACTTGGTCCGTTTTTTCAAGGTTCACTTGATTGATCAAGCTTTAAGAAAACCGAACATCTGGAAACCATATGACGCGTCATTTCAAGTGTACATGGTAATATTAGAGCATGAAATGTTTTATTCATATTATTTTACCTGAAATCAAATTTTCTCTTAATGTATAGTATTTTATAAGAAATAATAGTTTGAGATATGACAGTAATTTTTTAGTTAATATTTACCTGTTTTTGTGACGGCACTTGTAGTAATTAACGAAGGTGTCCAGGTGTATAGCACACTTTCCATTGCAGAAGCCATTATTTAAAACTTAAATGAAGAATATTTAATGAATTACTTTGCTAACAATCTGATAAATCAATTTAGAATACTTTGTCACACTTAAGTCACTTCTTCAAATAATTTACAGCAGGTACAATTTTAAATCGTATGGTAAATCCACTATGTTAACTCTTACAACTACCGCTACTGAAACTAGGCTATGATAGTTGAAGAAAAGGCAGAGAATTACAATGTTGGAGCTTTACGTGTGGGGAATACATTAAAAATAGGGTGACCACCCTATTTGAGTTTACTCAGGCGTTGGTTTACGCCTAGGAACGACAAGATATTAAAAAGTTAATTACCAGTAATTTAATACATAATTTCGGAGTATCTTCGCCGAAAATTGATGTATCGCCTATGGACAGCAAACGAGAAGGAAAGCATGGAGCAACTGCGATTAATAACATTTTAATAATATTCTTGAACTATGGTTCATAGCACTTATTTAAATGGTACATTAGAAATTTGAGTTAATTAGTGTTCAGATTTCAACAAAGTACAGAAATGTTCCGATTAGAAATAGGAACGTAAAACCAGTTGCAGTTTGCCATTTTTTCTTTATTAGTTGAACTCCCTTTAAATTAAAATTCTTTTAACTACATTAAAATTTGATTTAAGGTAGAAATAGATGCGAATGGAATCTGAAAATGGTTCACATGTGCAATAATATAAACGCGTTTTGAATAATTATAGGAAGCCTAGAAAGATCAAATCAAATAACCTGGAGACCACATTTGGAAGACGCAGATTTGCTGTGAAAGAGAAGATAAGCTCTAAGAAGGGTATCCTTACTAAAGTAAGGACAAAGCATGTGCAGTTCACAGGAAGCCACTTGAATGGTGGTTTAATGCAGCTTCACCATTTTCTATGGCGCTTCTTAATGTCTGCGATTGCTAGTTTAATAAACAACTCTTATTTACTTCCATATGCGCCAAACCACTCCGTACAGAACACCAACTCCACTGCTACTGTGTTATGGCAATAATAGAGATATCTACAGTCTATGTCCCATTAACAAAATACAGAGGAATCTCATTAGTTCATTCCTCATTACGATGTTTTCTCACATAGCCCATCTGAATTTTCAAGTCCCTGTCTCAATTCTGTTAAATTTCTCGGGTACATGTTTAACAATTCCACTTACAATATTTAAAGTTTTTTCAGTGACTCATTCTGGAATTGACATACTCCCTCCTGCAGCAGCAATGTCATCTAGTTCTGCGGTTTCCATGGTGCTTTCTGGCACAAGAAGGATTTTGGGTTTTTGCACTCATTACAGTACAAACATTAAGTCATTTAACTATACATTAGTTTCATACACCAAGGACAGTAACACTATTGTTTTGTTTTCTCCAATGTGCATATTTCAAAAGTTTTTAATTTTGTTTTAATGTGGTATATTTTTTGCAATTAATTAGCAGCAATTAATAGAGTATATTTGTATTTTGTGTGTAAATTAGTTTATATTCTCTACTATAGTGTTCTGACAAAATTGGAAAAGAACAAATGGACCATTTTTCAATTACTTTGTTATGCCATTTAAACTTTTCTATCCCTTGAATATCAAGTTAACGAGATTCCACATTACACCTTAATTCATAAAATATTTTTACTCTGTAATTATGTTTCATCAGCTGATATAAGTAATAGTGGGTAATACCCATGCATTCTTAAAAGCTGTAAAATTTTTAGCAGAGTTTTACACAATTGAAATTCACACACTTCAACTATTACAATCTTATTTAATAAACATTCATATACTCCCACAATTCCAATAGAAAGATTTTAACTTCCTTAATCATTCAACAACAACAACAACAACAACAACAACAACAACAACAACTTCCTTAATCATTCAACAACAAGAACAACTTCCTTAATCATTCAACAAAATTTACTGTTTCTTGGTGTAACTATGGCAATAAAATTATACATTCAGGTAATAATACTGTTTATAAATAGTTAAGAAATTTGAAATGGGGAAATCGTTTGCTAATTATTTTGCTTTTCTTTGCTTCGTCAGTGGACAGTCAGACCCTTCTTTCGCTTTCCAGAGCCAGTTGACTCTTCATTTGCTTTTTTCACAGGACCTTTGCCAATATTTGCACTGTGGGAAACAACTGCTCTATGCAGATCCTTCTCTGTATTTCCAGAATGAGGTGACACTTGAGGCACAGAAGATGGAGTTTCAGGGGTTTCACATGCCTGTTTCTTCTTATTTCTCTTTCCAAGCTGCATTTTATGCATTTGTTGCAAAACAAATGAAATGCTAATAAATTAATCTACAAATTTTTTGAATATATTACAAATTTTATCTCAACACGAACTTACATTTTGTTGTTTAAGATTTTTATTAGAACTTTCTGAGAGTCCTCTTTTCTTCGAATAAGGAGTTTTTTCCCGATGAAACCTATTGAAATTGACTTCTTCCAACTCTTTATTACCTGTATGAACAAATAGTGCTTAGACCACTGCTTCATATGTCTTAAAAGCATCTCATCTTTAGTTATCTTAGGATAAACTCACCAGAAATTAAAGCTCAATTTTAACATTCACAAAATAGTTTAACTTCTTAAGATTACATAAAAATTGACAGAAGGGCACTTACCATCTCCTCCATCCTCATTGTCAGTCTCTTGATCAGTATCCTCATCTTCTTTTATATTTTCAGAAGAAATATTATCAATACTGTTTTCCTCATCATGATCATCACAATCCTCTGAAATTTTGTAAAATTGTGAGCTTTAAGCAATTCAAAATTTACTTTTTTTAAATTGAAAAGATGTATTTCAAGCACATCGGATAAACAAGTTATGCTGTAATTAAGGAGTTGAACAACATTAAGTCCTAAACACTTGCTTTATTTATTGTGGTTCATTATCAGCCACCTGTCACATTAAATGAAGTGGAAATTATAAAATCTAAATTGTACGTGAAATACAACAAAACATTGATTGCACGTTAGTTTCACCAATGCCCATCTTCATACCGTTCCTCTACATACTTGTGTCAAAAATCAAAAATCAAAAACGTCATGAGTATTATGATTAATAACTATAGTTCGTTCCCCACTGGAAAACGAGGTCTACCAAGGACCAAAGTATCTGGGTCTCCAAAAATAGCTTTGTTCCACAAAAATGTTTTTCCTGTATTATTGAAGGAAAATCCTGGATAGTGAGCGAGAGGAAGAGCGAGAGAGAGCGAGAGAGAGAGGAAGAGCGAGCGAGAGAGAGAGCGAGAGAGAGGAAGAGCGAGCGAGAGAGAGAGCGAGAGAGAGCGAGAGCGAGAGAGAGGAAGAGCGAGCGAGAGAGAGGAAGAGCGAGAGAGAGAGAGGAAGAGCGAGAGAGAGAGAGAGAGGAAAGAGCGAGAACCGAGAGACGAGAGAGGAAAAGCGAGAGCGAGAGGAGAGAGACCGAAGAGCGAGAGCGAGAGAGAGAGACGAAGAGCGAGAGCGAGAGGAGAAAGAGAGACGAAGAGCGCAGAGCGAGGAGGGAGAGAGACGAAGAGGCGAGAGCGAGAGAGAGAGAGAGACGAAGAGCGGAGCGAGAAGAGAGAGAGCGACGAAGAGCGAGAGCGAGAGAGAGAGAGACGAAAAGCGAGAGCGAGAGAGAGAGAGAGACGAAGAGCGAGAGCGAGAGAGAGAGGGACGAAGAAGCGCAGAGAGAGAGAACGAAGGGAGAGAGAGGAGGAAAGGAAGAGCGAGAGGAGAGAGAGAGGAAGAGCGAGAAGAGAGAGAGGAAGCGCGAGAGAGAGAGAGAAGGAAGAGCGAGAGAAGAGAAGAGAAGAGGAAGAGCGAGAGAGAGATGAGAGAGAAGAGCGAGAGAGAGAGCAGCAGGAGATCCGCGAGAGAGAGAGGGAGAGGGAAGAGAGAAACGGAGAGAGAAGCGAAGAGAGAGAGAGAGGAAGCAGCGGAGAGGAGAGGCGAAGAGCGAGAGAGAGAAAGCGAGAGAGAGAGCAGAGGGAAGAGCGAGAGACGAGGAGCAGCGAAGAGCGGAGAGAACAGCGGAAGAGGAGAGAGGAGAGAGCGAAGAGCGAGAGAGAGATAGAGGAGAAAGAGCGAGAGAGAGACGGAGAGAGAGGAAGAGCGAGAGAGAGAGGAAGAAGCGATGGAGAGAGAGAGGAGATAGAGTTCGAGAGGAAGAGCGAGAGAGGAAGTAGCGAGAGAGAGGAGAGCGAAGAGCAGAGACGAGCAGAGAGAGGAAAGAGGGAGAAGAGGAAGAGGAGAGAGAGAGAGGCGAGAGAGGAGAAGCAGCGAAGAGCGAGGAAGAGCGAGAGAGGGAAGAGGGCGAGAAGGAGAGGAAGCGAGGGAGAGAGAGAGAAGGGCGGAGAGAGAGCGAGAGAGACGGGAAGCGAGAGAGAGAACCGAGAGAGGAGAAGAGCGTGAGCGAGGAGAGAGCGGAGTAGAGAAGACGGGCGAAGAGAGAGAGAGAGGGGGAGGAAGAGCGGGCGAGAGAGAGAGGGAGGAAGAGCGGGCGAGAGAGAGAGGGAGGAAAGAGCGGCGCGAGAGAGAGCGGGCGAAGAGAGGGGAGGGAAGAGCGGGCGAAGGAGAGAGAGGGAGGAAGAGCGGCGGGAGAGAGGGAGGAAGAGCGGAGAGAGGAGGGAGGAAGAAGCGGGGTCGCGAGAGAGAGAGGGGAGGAAGAGGCGCGGGCGAGAGAGAGAGGGAGGAAAAGCGAGGCCGAGAGAGAGAGGGAGGAAGAGGCGGGCGAGAGAGAGAGGGAGGAAGAGCGGGCGGCGGAAAGGGAGAGAGCGGAGGAAGAGCGGGCGAGAGAGAGAGGGAGGAAGAGCGGGGCGAGAGGAGAGACGGGAGGAAGAGAGGCGGCGCCGGAGAGAGGAGACGGAGGAGAGGGGGGAGAGAGTAGAGAAGGAGAGGAAGAGCCGGGCGAGGAGGGAGGAGACGGGAGGGAGCGGCGAGAGGAGGGACGGGAGAAGAGCGGGGGCAGAGAGGGAGAGGAAGAGCGGGCGAGAGAGGGAGAGGAAGAGCGGGCGAGTAATACTATACGCCCGCCGCCACGTCCGACATTTTGCTCCCCGGGTCGGTTCCGAACAGGTGAGGTTTTTGTGACGACTCAGAGCATTGAGTTGGAAAGCCCTGCTCTACACTCTCGATTCGCCTTCCGGCATGTGTGGTAGTGTAGTGCATGTTAGTGAAAGAGAGGAATGGGGAAAGACAAGGATGAGGAGCGCGGTCCGTGGCCTGTTTGTTAGGGTACTGCTCTTGCGTTCGCCTGGTGTTGATCGGAGAAACCACAGAAAACTACCGCTCAGAGCAGTCGACCGCTAGCATTCTTCTCCAGACAGCGATTGAACTCGACCTAACTGAAAAGCTAGTGTTCAAAATCGTACGACCGTTACGTGTCTAACCTTCCACCTCCCGAACATAGGCACTGCCGCGGCATCAGTTGATGTCCTGTCACCTCTCCCAGTCGCAGGACGAACACACGCAAATAAATAGAGGGGAAAAACACTATCAGTGAAGTGTTTCCGCCAAATGGCTAGAAATTGGGCCTATTTTACGGAATGGGAATCGCGTAGCTTAAGAGGGAAGCGTATTGTCAATTTGAAAAACACAAAACTATTTCTCACTAACCCATGCATATATCTAGGGAATTGTCTCCACATTGTTTTCTGAATATTCTGTGTAGAACATTGCAGCAACAGAAATGATCTAGTATACACGCATTAAACATACAGAATATGCGTGTACGTAATTCCCAAACACATGAGGTACGGCTGACCATTCATACCTGAAGGTTCCAAAACCTTTGGGCACGGGTAACATTTTCGTACACAAATTATCAATTATATTCTTTTAGCTAAACTATTGTACCTTCCTCTTCCTGTTCCTGTTCCTCTTCTTCCTCTTTTTCCTCTTCCTCTTCTTCCTCTTTTTCCTCTTCCTCTTCTTCCTCTTTTTCCTCTTCCTCTTCTTCCTCTGCTTCTTCTATCTCTGCAGTGTTGTAATCTATATCTTCATCATCATCCTCATCCTCATCTTCCTCCTCCTTTACAAAAAACCCTGTTGGAAATCCATACAAGTTGAATAATAATATTCTTCAGCATATGTACATTATAAACTTTATTTTGATTAAAACAATACTACAGTTATATCATAAGACTCCTACTGAAACTTTTAGAGAGTACTATTCCAATAATATAACCATTGGTTTACACTTGAACGGAGTCGGTAACCGTTTAAACTTCATACATTTATATTTCACTCTGATTTGTCATACAGAATATTTTTCACACCAAGTTTGCCTATAAAAAGGTACAGACATTTTATTTGCATTTCAAAAATATTCAATTGTTTTTATTAATCCAAAGGACCGTTCAAACTGTACGACGGACTATAGGGAGAAGCGAACGTTTTTGTGAGCTCTGGGATTTCTATCCTAGTAACTCAAGATGAATTTTGAGCCCAGGTTGCAACGAACTATTTTTGCAAGAACCGGTAAAAAAATATTTGCCCCTATGTAATAAAAATATTTGAAAAAGCAAATCAGATACAAATTGTGGCCATTTGATGCACTTTATGCCATCCCTTTTCATACTCTTCCTACAGACTCTACAGTCTGTAGGAAATGGAGAGTCACAAGAAAATGGAGGTGGTTTTTTTCAGTAACTACTAACCCCACAGAGTTCAAGAAATTTGCAAACTGAAGCTACATTTATGTCCGGAAGCAAACCAAGGGACCATCACTCAAAGGAAGAAACTGGGCGAAAAAACTTATCGAGATGGGGTCATGACTCAGAAGCTGAGGGACAAATGTTTTGTGTTTTAGAATTATGCAGTTTAAATGGTAACTGTACTTCTAAAATATACCACGGTGTACTGACGTTGCAGCTCACTATCAGAGACCGCCTTCCATCTTTTTCGTATGTGACCTTCACAGGCCAATTAAAAGTATCGAAGTGTAACTCAAAAAATATCATTGTTAAAACCAATTTGATACTTAGTGGGATCTCTAATTGTGTAGAAACAGTTGTGGGAGGCGGGCTACGACCTGGTCTCGTACAGTGGGTTGATGAAACCGCTGAGACAGCGCCCTACATTCTGATCCACTGGCAGTGGCTTGTAAGGCTACCCTTGAAACAGGACCCTATCTCTGGTCTCGCGAGCGGCCACGCCGTCTCAAGAGCGGGACCATCGCACGCACCAGCCAAGTGATGATATACCGTGCTAAGCCAGACTTGCATAGTTCTTCTGGCCTTGCCCGCTGCACCCCCTTCCCTTCCCGGTCTCGCGTTCAAGAGAACGAACGAGACGATATTTAATGCCAAAAGGGCGTACGTGTGTGTAAGAGGGCGTGTGTGCAGACGAGTAAGAATGCGGGTATGAAAAGTATTTACTAAGCTGTCCGGGTGACGCCGCGTCCATGGCGAAGGTGTCGACGTTTCGGTCGCCATTCTGCGACCTTCCTCAGGGCGTAATGCATTAAGGTCGCAGAATGGTGACCGAAACGTCGGCACCTTCGCCATGGACGCGGCGACACATCAGCCTAGTAAATACTGACTCCGGCTGCGGAAGCCTACGCTCTCGTGTATGAAAAGGTTCTTCTAGAAATCTTGTATGGCTCGTTGTGAGCTTATCTGAAAAGTTTGTAATCCTGGACAAAGAATCATTACCATTTTGGGAGCAACGTAGTCGTGCGTGGCATGGCATTCAACAAGAAAGCCATAGAAGCGCTCTGCTCTTGTAGCCAATTAATAATCAAATAAACTTGTGCTAACTTCCTAGACTAGCCACCCGCCAGAATGAAAACGTTAGCAGTCGAATTAGATCTTGTTAAAAATCTTGTAAATAAAACTCTTTGTAATTTAAATGTGTCGAGGAGTTCGTTAAAAATTTGTGAATCTGTAAATAATTTAGCTATTCAGCCTTTTACCTTCTATTCAAAAACTACTTTAAAATTAATTCGTTTCCCGTGTGCAAAATAAATGCGACTCTTCACAACTCTTCTCATAACGTGGTTCCCACCACTTTGGAACCTGAAACAACAAGCCGAACATTCCAACGACAAGGATTTTAGGAACTCTGTTCCACTACAACCCCGTGTTCAGTGGAGAGCATAGTGTCATTAGAAGCGGCCTTAGAATAAGAGTGCAGTGGGTGGGACGAAAGACACTTTGGATACAGTGCGACTCCACCTGGCAGGTGCGGGGCCGAATTTACTGAAAGCAATTCCCATACGGTGGCTTCAGAGGACCTGACGGGGCGATTCGCGTGGGGTTATGCAGCAAACTCTGGAAGCTGTGAGCGGATATAGCATGGGGCTTCACCAGAGATAATTAAGGAAGCGTGTAGGAGTAATTACTCTTAGAAGCTTCACCGACCGGCAACAAGGATATTACAAAAAGTAACGATGCCGAGAGAATTTTAAACATTGATATTGTATGATATACAGCTTCATATTGCGATGAATATTAGCCTTATCAGCAAAAATAAGTTTTTCCGTTTAGACGAACGCATCTCGTTTACGTATAGTAAGAAGAGGAAATGGCACAAAATCGAACACTACGGAACAATGGGCAATTCGCAATGAATCAGAAAAGTGAATAAATAATGCCCCTTCATTCTAGTATGGTATTTCTATTCTCTCATATAGTTCTTTCAGGTACAAACAGCAATCTAAAATGATATCACTAATTCCATACGAAGGTAATTTCGCAAGTAAAATATTGTAATAAATGATAAAGATTTAGAAAGATCTAAAAATATTAAAATAGGTGCTTCATTTTGATATATAGATGAAGCGATATCTTTAAGAAAAGAAAATGTTTTTTTCTGTAAATTTTTATTATCTATATTTCTGTTGGCAATCCGAAAAAGTTTCGTATTTAATGATAAAGGTTTCCATTGGAATGTATAAAATTCTTTTTGTGTACGATTGCTGTGCTTTTATTGTAATTATCGATAATACATTATTAGCGGAAATAGGACTAGCGCCAGTTTTTTACCGTAATTTGATACATGCGAGAAAAATGAAAAAAATTGGAGACTGAGAAAATATATTTTTTTAAATTTCCTCATTAAGCAAAATTGCTAAAAAAAACTACCTACACTTACGCAAGGTCTCGAGTTCGTTCAGATATATGGAGGAATATCAGTTTTGAAGATAATGGTCTGAACGGTGTACGAGCCAGCGTTGACCGCCACAGAGTTTTGCGAGCAATCTCTTTTTCGTTATGAAGGACACAAATAACATTATGACTACACAAAGTGTTAGAGAAAGTAATTTACTATACAAAGGAACAAGATTTATCCATATTTTCGTTACCAGGTCCCGTCAATAGTTTTTTCTGTCGTAAATGCCAATACATGACGCACGATTAGAATATTTTCTTTTCATACAAAGTAGGGCAAAAAGATAAAAGGGTGATGTGTGTTTCTCTTGGATGAAGTTTGAAAGGTTTGCACACTATCTCTATGCAAAATGGTGGTCTGTTGTACCAAAATCAGAGTCCGGACTGCAATGATAGCGAGTCGAGACAACGGTACGTTTACTTGAGTACTTACATGAATTTTTTTACATTCATGAATTTTCATACATGAAATTTGAAAGATACAATGAAAATACATTCGATTTATAAAAAAAACTTAGAATAATACAGAATGCAATCCCTCCAATGAAACGCAACTTACCTGTAAGATGAATTCTCCTCTCACCAATTGAATAAAACGTTACTTTTTCTCCAAAATTGAACACAAGATTTAACTTGCACTGCTTTACTTTTTCCCCATGGAGATTGCATAAAACAAATTCCTGCCCGTCATACACGAGCATCAAAGAAACCGTTTCATTGCCGTCACTCGTTTTTTCCAAACATGCCATGGAAACATGGAAGGTCCTAACCACTCTTTGCGTGTATCGCTTTCCTGGATCAATATGAAGTCCTGAAAATCAAATTAATTGATGGTTTTAGATACAACTGCAATGGCCATTAGTTTCCTTAGGGACGGTGGCACATCTAGGGGGCATGGGGGGGCCAAGCCCCCCTTAAAAATGTCTAGAGTTTTCGTTTGTTGCCTTCCTTCAGTTTGCAAAATTGATTTAATTATTTCTGTTAGAATTATGTAATTATTTAAAAATTAATATTGTATAGTATGATATATACACTATAAAAATAATGGACGATATAATAACAAATGTGTTTATTTAACAAACATCTATGATCCTCCTCCCAAAAAATATGATCCGCTAGATCGGCTCCTGGCTAGTGTAATGAATGGTTTCTCCCTGCGGTGGTGGTCCTCCGCTGGATGGTGCTATCCTACGCCAACCTACACGACGGCAGGCGGGAATTTACCACCTCAGGTCATTATCCGATTTCCCAGGCATGCACTTCGTAACAAGAACAAGAGTGGAAGCAAGGTCTTCATTACACCAAATCAATAAAGGCGACGGAGGGGGGGGGGGGTTCTGGACATGGCCCACCGAAACGACGCGTGAGAAAATACGTCAAATGTTTTGGAGAAAACGGAAAATTGCTAGCGCAGCACAGCATAATACAATCTTTTTCTTTTACTGGTACCGGTTCCTGAAGAACTTTAACATTAACATTAACACGAAACAGACAGGTTCAAGTATAAAGCCTCTTTGGCGTGTACTGATCTTCACCACGGATCAAATTTGTTTCTACGTAATCCCCCTAAAAATTCTGCACGGCAGATAAATTGTAACACGCTTATTATCATTATCCTCCTTCATTATATACATGGACCAATTAACTTTCCAACTAGAGGATATAAAGACACTATATTAAATTTGGGATAAAATTTGTGTTAGGAACCTTTTGAATACACCTGATTTTTTTTTTTGAACGGGCTTTGGCTAAGGCAAAAATATCTATCTTCAATTTTGTAGTTTTAGAATGTTAACTTTTTGCAAATTTGGAAAATGCAGACAGCTCCCCGGAAAAGAGACTCGCCAATTTATTTACCGTCTTTTGAAAAAAACGAGAAGTTTTTAAGAAAAAACATTTAAAATTACAGTACGTGCTCTAATAGAAATGAATAAAACTTTTGGATAGCTGATTTTCATAGTTCGCCCTTTATATGCTTTGTCCTCGCCGCATTGTAATGCCAATTTACTTTAAAGGCAAGTTTTCTCGCTTCGCTCGCCCGGATCCAAGTCACGGCGAGGCTCGGACCTTCGGCCCTCGCGTTCACTATAAACATCCTTGAGTCTATCCAACGCATAGTTACCAATTCTCTTTTATAAGACATCACTTTCCAAGGAAGCCTACAGAATTCTAACTGCCTAGTTAACGCCGGAACGGCGCGAAATGCCGGTTTAAACGACTTCCTTAGGTTGTACCGTATACTACATTTCAGCCGTACTCAAATATTGGATAAAAATGATTAATCAGTTTCTGATCCTTCTGATATAAAAAATGTGGGGTGCAGAAAGAGATATGGTTAGAGTAGGGTTCACGGTACAGCCTCAAAATTGAGGAAGGGAGGGGGCTCCTAAAGTCGTCCCTCAAATTACGCTTCGCACACTGATAGAAATGAATAAAACTTACGGATAGGCGATTTCGATGTCTCGCCTTTCAACTTACGGATAGGCGATTTCGATGTCTCGCCTTTCAACTTACGGATAGGCGATTTTTATGGTTTGCTCTTCATATGCTTTGTCTCCGGCGCATTGTATCGCCAATTTACTTTCAAAGGCAAAGTTTTCTCGCTTCGGATCCACGTCACGGCGTTGCCTCAGGCCTTCGGCCCTCGCGTTTACTATAAACATCCTTGAGTCTATCCAACGCATAACTACCAATTCACTTTTATAAGAAAGCACTTTTCTAGAAAGCCTCCAGAATTCAAACTGCGCAGTTGCCGCCAGAACGGTGCGAAGTGCCGGTTTAAACGTATTCCCTAAGTTGTACCGTACACCAGACTTCAGCCGAAAACTTACAAATATTATTGAGGAACTTGATGTAAACATTACTTTAAGAAAGAGATTGTCTATGTTTTACTACCACGTTGAACAGTTACAATTTATTAAAAACAATCAAAGATTCTTTCTTTTTGTTTTATTACACACACGGTTTGCATGTGTATAATAAGAAAATCACACACGTAAAAATAATAATCGGAAAAATCCCTTTCGTTGTCTTTAATACGTGGAAACTTAATAATTTGAGGGAAACATTCGAAACTATCTGTCACGTTCTGTAAAAAAGGCACATTGTTCAAAAGTAAGCAATTCTTCCTATGGGTGAGAAATGCATGTCAGAAGATAAGTGATTTTAACCAAACGCATTGCGCAGATAATGTTTACGAAAATAGAAAGAATGCTTCTCATTGCTCCCACAAAAACAAAAGTTGCACAACAATTCTTAGAGAAATATTCCAATTTATCTTCAAAACATACCCCAAAACATGATGACAACGATGCTGAATACGAAATACAGTTAAGTACCACTTCTCGGATCTCACACAGCAACCAAAACAAACTTCAAAAACGTTAACACAAACCAAAAGAATCGAAGGGATTTAACGCCCAAATTTAGAGCACTATCATTGCGTGTTCACTAGTTCACACGTGGTTACGGCAATGTAAGAGAATCATTCAACATGCTTTTTTCGTGCACGTGGTTTGCAGTGGACGCAAGTGGGCGAAGACGTTACAGGAACTATTTGTTAAATCTCGCAACCCGCTTTGATCCCATCAATAGTGCTGCGCTCACACGGTTGGCTTGTCAGTCTTTGAGTGCTGGAAGCAACGTCACACCCACTCGACCAATTAGGAACATTGAATACGTTGTGCAGTACTTTTGAATATACCGTCCGTTTTATCTAGTTAAATTAAAATTTATTTTAGGATGCTGTAAAAAAATTACCGTATCCTGACATTGTTCTATAATATTCTTAAAATAATATTTCCGTTCTATTAAGAATCCGAAAAGTTAAGAAAGTTAAAAAAATGTACTTTGGGAGGCGATAGCTGGCAGGAGTATGATGCAAGTCCGAATAGCTAGCCGAGACCAAAGGAAATAGAATACGAATAAGGAAAGTCTGTGCCATTCTGTAGCACCATTAGTTTATTCTGAAATTGGTTCTATGTAGAACTGTGATGTAATTCTCTATCCGCCAGTATAACATAAAGTTTTGGGTCGACGGACTCTTATAAATGCTAAAACCTGTCATCTTTCTTAAGCGTATGATATACAAAGGATTATAAAGCTTTAAAAACATGATAATTTGCAACTACATTTCAAAGTCAAAATATTACTGGATGCTAAAATAAAGTACAAAAATCTCTAAAATACAGGCACAAAACTGTTGCAGACATTGCCAAAAAATATTTAAAGTCAAGATGATTAAAGGTGGGAAAATGGTAAAAATGGGTTTTATTATTTTAACTGCAGTTCAGCAGTCAAAAATATCTTAAATAATTTCACAACAATTTGTCTTTTGAGAAGAACTTTTCTTGGAATATGGATAATGGAATATAAATACAGTCGACTCCGGATATAGTGAACGCGGCTATAACACACACTCGGTTATAGTGAACTAAAGTCGCAGGTCCCGTTTCACTTCCATTGCAAATAATATATTTGATGAAAGATTCGATTACAGTGAACCTGAACCACGTTTAAAGTGAACTTCGGTTATGGGAAATACAACGTCCTAGATAATACATCCCTCCTAGAAAAGAATGTATCGCCCATGCCACAACTTCCAACATTAGGCAGCTTGAAAAAATATCGGCCAAAGGTTATAATCGAAGAAGTGTCCCCTGAGGTAAATGTAGCGGACCCGTAATGGGAACTAAGTTTCGCTGCGGAAACAAAGGTCGTGTCCTGTGTGGCCTACAACTGGCGGTGACGGCGGCACGCCGCAGTTTCAAGCTTGATGATACTTGATAATCCATTAGAGATGATCTCGAGGCTCAATGGCGAAACCGCTTGCCATTCGCCACTGAGGTTCCGAGTTCAATCCCACATGTGGTCCCTCGTTAAGACCTCATGTGAAATTTGTTTCGGCAAAACGAAACGGTTTTTCATGCTTGCACAGGGGCTAGTGCAACTCCTGTGAAGCGTTCTAAACTACTTCGAACACCTATCCTTATTCCTTCCCAATTCTGGCCGCTTGGTTGCGACAGAGAGTCGCGTACGCGGAGATGCTGTCAGGCGGTCTTCTTCACAACTGAGACGAGACGTGATGGACTATGTAATTAATGGCGCAAGGGCAATCCCATGCAGCAATTTAAGGAGGATTACTCCACAAAGCGTGAAGCGTTCAACCGCCCTTAAGGGGTGTGAAGACTCGTTGCGTCTACGTTGACGCAACGAATTTTAAAAAATACACCGCACAAAGTGCGTTGTGTTCTAAGTAGGCGACAGGAAGCGCTCGACTGCCTCAGTCCCATAGCCTGGCGATACTGACAGGGCCGTGCGGAAAGGCGATCAGTTTCTGCGGTGATCAGAGACTGCTGTGACGAGAACAGGAAGTGAAGAATAACATTTTCCCGTTTTCATATCAGAAAGTTATGAGGTTCTTTGATTTCCTTCACGCTTTACCAATGTCTACTATTACTCTAACAAGTAAGAACACGACTACAAAACCTTCAGAATACGAATGTATCTCAAACACAAGTACCTGAAATAGACAGGCTGGGAAACCCGTCACCCTTTGCCTTGCCTTGCCTTGCCAAGGGACCAGAAGGGTTCAGAATTTTCTAACCCGCTCTCAACATAAAGACCCCACATCAGGCAAACATTGCAAAAACGCACTACAACTGTGAATAGTGAATGTTCAAATACAATATTAAACTAAATTGTTTGGTGGAAAAAATTATGAATGATGAATTACTGTCCAGAATAAAATATAGCTCAAATAAAAAAATAAAAGAATAAAATATTTAAAAGTTTTTAAACAGTATCTCTGGTCCATGTGTTTCATATATATATATATATAATATAATATATTTATTATATTTATATATTATATATTATAAAATTCTGCGTGAATTTTCATTTAAGCATTAAATTTAATGTACATGTATAATAATCTACATTAAATTTAAAGTAATTTCTGGCACAGTACATTAATAAAATGAAACATTGTGGAGAAATTCTATTTAATTTTGACATCATCTGACAGAGTGTACCTATGATATAGTGAACCAAGAATGTTAGTCACCAGAAATTCACTATAGCCGCAGTCAACTGTATATTTTTGACATCATTTGCAAATGTTTCTGAGAGAAGCAGGAAGAAAATAATATTGGAAAATTATTCCTTAGCTGAATCAGAAACTGAAGTAAGTATTTCCATAGTTGCACCAGTCAAACAGATAGACAGATAGACAGATAGACGGATAGACGGACAGACGGACAGACGGACAGACGTTTTGCTGTCAATCAATTGTTCGGTATCATGGACCCGCAAAAGATGGATTCTGGTTACACCACTTGTTCGAGGACTTTTTTTTTTCTAAATTTTGCAACTGAATGTATCAACTTAAAAAGTGGGTATTTTTGTTAATTTCTTTCGCCGAAAAATACTACCCACTTCCTAAAGAACACGAAACTCCTAATACTTTTTAAAATTTGATTTGGAAAATGAATGGTTGATTCACAAAACTCAATTAAAAATTATTACAGATGAAAAGATTAAATAACTTTACTAAAGGAACCTGGAACATTTGGTTGCATAGTTTTAACGAGGTCAATTAAAATAATTATTTGAATTGTGGAGCGTTACTAAAGAAAATTTTGAAATTGGCGTGTGTTAGCAATTGTGAAGCGTAAACTTGTGGCTAATATGTCACATTTTTTATATTTCTGGCCCAATGAGCCCCTCTCGTTTCAAGTCCTCCTAGTGGACCACACTCATATCTTTTAAACGGTTCGCTAAACTGTTATGCTGTTTTGGCCCAACATTGCAGAGTAATGACGCAAATAATGTGGTGGAGAGAGATTATAGGTAAATTTTTTAGTTTTCGACAACCTCAATCATCATTTATTTTTTTCAATGAAGCTATATAATTTTTTAAAAATTTGAATGGATAGATCATAAAAGGTGATAATGATGTATCATGTGTTTATATTTTGTCAGCAGTTAGCTATAAAATAATACTTTATAACGTGTGCATTTTAATTCACGTGACAAATTTCTGGCCTTTGGGTAAGGTGGCCTTCACTTTAGATTTAGATTTATTCAGTCAAAGAACAGTAAAAAGCTGTATGTGACGTAGAGGGGAGAAGACTGGGAAAGAGACTTCGCGGCGCGCCGCCGCGACTGTTACGTGGAGAGGAGATATTGAGAAGACTGGCAAAGCAATTTCGACAATTCGTGGTCTTGGCTGGAAGCGTCCAGGAACAAAATTCAATATTAACGATTGGAATGAAAGATTTGTACATAGATTCATCAGAATTGAAAATCGCATTCACTGATTAACATTTTAAAGCCTCGGTCATTGATATGAACGATACAAAGAAATTAGTAGCATAAGGAAGATTCGAACAACTTCAAACTTAACGAGAATCGAGCTCGATGTCTCGTGTCTGTGAGAACAAGTTAACATTTTGAAACATTTCAAATGTAAGTAAAGGGAAATGAAAGGTTGAAGATATTCACTATACAATCTGCAGATAATTATCAGATTATAAAAAGGAAGACATTTTGTTATTATTGCAGTTGCTCAGCTACTGATTGTAAATTTACAAAAAAATATAGGTTCTAATGCTTTTGGTGGGACGCATATTTGACCGTACACAAGACACCAACACATTTGCGAGCTCCTCTGATCTGGTCGCGTGTCAGCAGGATGCAAGGCTCTCCACGACAAACATACATAAGAGACAAGGGACAAAAAATACATATCCAAGGCAGAACCGGGAGAGGTGGCGCAAGGCATGAACCAATAACACCGCAGAGCCTCTGCCCGGGTTGTCCTAGGTTCGAGTCCCGAGAGTGGTTGGATTTTCGACACTAGCTTGTCAGCTAGGTCGAATTGAGTTGCTGTGTGGAGGAGAATTCTATCGGTTGGCTGCTCTGTTTGTTTTCCGTGGTTTCTCCGATCAACTCAATATGAATGCTCGAGCAGTACCCTAACAAACGGGCAACGGACTTCGCGCGTTCTTTCCTACCTCTTCCATGTCCTATGGTCGGGTGTTCAAGGGCCAATGAAGTGACTCCACTCTACTCTACTCCACTCCACCGTCTCCAATTTCTTGGAACAATGTTTTTTCTTTCCTTGTCTTGCGGAATCAGTGTACGGGTAAAGATGGCCGTGAAAATAAATACCATTAAGTATTTATAACGTCACAAAAGTAATGACGTCTCTTTCATCAAAGGCGTGCACAGTCTAAATCTAGAGGGGATAACTTATCATTTTTTCTTTCTCGCTCTTACTTCGTAAAAAGAGAAAGTATCGTAATAGTGCGTCGGTAAACTGCAAATTTTCGGCAGAAAAATTCTTATTGTCGGGCCCGGGTAAAGAAAAAGGCAATAAATCTTGTCCCTATATAGTCTATAGTGTCCCCCACTAACTATGGACCATCCCCATAATTTCTAAATGGTTCACGATATCGAAATGAAGTTTTCTCTACACAATGCGGAATCATGGGGCAAGAGGTATGCCGTAGTGGTACATTTTGAGTTTTTGAGAAATTTAATCAGTTTTGATTTTTTTAAATGGAACTAGATTATAAATAAAGGAATACAATCATTTATCATAAGTTAATGATTTGATAGTAATTTGAGAATAAAATTATACTTTCTGAGAAACGATTTTAAATTGAACGGATAATATATCCTGTAGCAGTCCTCTGTCAGCTATGAGGGGCCTTCCCAGCGCCAAGACGTATGGGGAGAAGAGGTAATAAGAGATAGGCATAAATTCAGCAATCCACGGTCTTACCGCGATGGTCACACCATGGGAACAAACATCAATATTAACGATCAAGATGACAGATTTTTTCCATTGATTCATCAGAATACAACTTTACTTCTACTGATTAAAATTTCAAAACATCGATTTACAGCGCCAAGAAACACTGAAGTCAGTTCGCCGGCTCTTGTTTACACGACTTCAAATGCACATTGCTATCGATGGGGCACAGAGCTTAAGTGTAAATAACTTATGTACATATTTTTATTCGGTTTTTATTGTTATCTACGTCTTAGGTAACTTTTTGTAAATTTGCTGTGAGAAGTTGAGTACCAGTAAATTATATTTCTCTCTATAATCTAATGAATTATCTGGATATATTACAGTAAAAATATCCAGTTTTTCATTATCTTTCCTGTATTTAAAACGTTTTAAAATATTTCCTTTTCCTTACAGTCATTAGACATCGAGATCAGTTTTTAAAACGATTGCTAGCATATCCCATATTCTACCAATGTATTCATATTGTTAATTTCAACGTTCGATGCTTTGGAATTTCAATTAGTTAAAAACTTTCAAATTTGAAGAATCAATGAAAAAAATGGATAATTCTGATAGTTGACACAGTAGTTCGCTCCTGTGTCCAGTCAAGATCACAGATTGCTGTCACTGCTCGTGTGCCCTCGCTGCAACCGATTTCAGTCTCCCCTCTCCCCGTGACAATCTCGGCGCCGCGAAGGCCGCCTGCCCTAAAAGCGACAAATGCAAGGGCTAGCAAACGAAATATTGTCTGTTCAATTGAAAATCACATGTTGAAAATTATAATTTTGAACTCAAATTACTGCCAACATTATATTCCGCTTTTTGTGATTGGTGTATGATAGGCAAAGGGCGCCACCTTGCGAGCGCACCAGAAACTACCGCGACAACCTGACTGCAGGCCGTTAGACAGACAGACGCAGGACGCGGAGACGAACGTGTTATACTCGTCTCCTACTCATCCTGTCTATTTCAAACTTCGTCAAATAAACGCCATTCCGATTGAGTATCGTGTGTCGTTATTCATACAACAGTGATCTATCCATTGCTAGGAAGAAAAATATAAAGTTTGACATGACACATGAACATGACATTTGAAGATCTGTTTTTGATGAGCACATTTCATTTCAAAAAATGTATCTTCACAACTGTTATTGTAGGAAGAAGAAAAATCAGTTATTTCAATGAGGCCTCATGAGGCACTTCTGTCACTTCAATATTTATGAGACAGGAATAGATGATTCGGAAGTCTCTGGCACCTTCAAAATTATGTTGTTTTCTTTTTTGTTTTGTTGCGTTTTCCAAAACAAGGATGTGTCCGTCAATAACCCTAATTCCAAACCTATTTACAGAATTTTCAAAATTCATACTTCTCAGTCAATCTGTCTGAAGTCTTTTCAATTTGAATCAGGAGATTATAATTTTTGATGAACTTTACATGAAGGCCCTAAGACATTTTTGAAACGTTCTCAAACTAAGACAAAGATTTATCTTTAATTTTTTGGTTAAATTAGAGAACAGTTAGTTTCTATGAATATGAGCAGCACAGATCCAACTGGAAAAATTTATCAAAATTTCAAATATTGTAAAAGTTAAATAATTTTAGGACTGCCTCCCACAAATACATTAGTAATGATGGTTTTAAAATGTAATCTGTTCTTTAATCACGCCTGCCAGTAACAATTCTGGATGATTTGGAAAGGCACTGTGAGAAATTATAATAAAACATGAAAAAAAAGGTTTCTTAAATAGCAGAATCACCTTATCATAGAGTAATGCCAGAATTTTTAACTTTAATTATTAACTAACTTTCTCCAAACCAATGTTTTACTTTAAAAATGTGAGTAGGTCAGGGGTTTGCAACTGGTAGCCAAAAAATTATGAAGAAAGTACAAAAAATTTGTACAGATCTTTCAAAATGTTTTAAATTTATTATGCATGAACCATGAAGATTATGCATAATTTGCACGAATGAAGGAAGTTGATAAAGAATTAACAGTGAAGAGCAGATAAGAGTAGTTTCGAGGAACCAGAATCAAATCTATCACTTGATCTGTGTGATTTACAAGCCAATATGTTTCTGTAAACCAATCAAGAAAAAGAAACCACATTTTTAAAACTTCTCTCAAGCAGATAAAAACAAAACTTAGGACAATGTCAAATAAAAATCTTCAATGTTTCGTAGTATTCCTAGGAAAAAGTTTTCTTCTTTGAAATTTATTAAAAATAATTTATTAATATGATTTTTAATATGAAATTTATTGAAAATCAGAAGTCAACTTGTTCATTCTTTCATGCTGTATCTTTTAAGATTAGGAACAATAAAACTGGAGATGGACTTTCCTTGATTGGTAGATGAAGCATAGTGTGCTGAATACATTTGTTATATTTAAAATTTTATTTTGAGTACATTAATAATTTCAGTTTGTCTGTAGCTCTTTTTTATTTCACCACTTATCACATATTAATTCAAAATAACTGACATTCTTGAGTGCTCTTCTTCAAAGTTCAATTGTTCTAGGTATGATAATTTTCATGATATTTAATTTCACATCATTTTAAATTGTTAATGTATTAAGCAATTAAAATTATTAATCCCTTGTTTCAATTAAACAATGTGTATTATTTCATACTAGTAACTATTTCCTATTTGCAGATTTTTACAAAAAAATTGACATGGTATTAAAGAATGGCCTGTTATCATACCTGCTGATTCCAATGTGGCCAGCAAGCATACTGTTTATATCTGGGGTCAAAATTTTCTCTTGCTCATGTGCTGCTGTGAACAAAATTTATTGTTGTCTGATTGTGAATTGACACATTGTCAGTTCTGCAAAATTCCTCTGAAAGAGTCTTAAACTTGCATAGCATTGAAGGAAGATTTTTACATTTCACAAATCAAGAGATATTATGTATTAATAAATATAATGAATTTTCTAAATTTGTATTAATGAATTTAAGTAAATAAAAACTTACTGACATTTTTGTTGGTGGCTTTTCATTTCACAGGACCTCTTACATTCATTAGTGAAGAGTGAGATCTCCTGGGTTGACTATTTAATTACCTCATACTAAATTTTTTACTGTTTGAATTATTTTTTTAATGCGTTTTGATATCAAAGATATCAAAGCATCCTACATAACAGAATCAAATAAGACAACTCACAACACTTTTAACCTTTTAATTATTAATTAATTACAGCAAAATAACTTTTTATCCTCTCTAGTTCCAAAAAAATACCTGACATACTCCAACTTTATATCAAGCAGGCTTAGTCACCAAAATCAAATTAAATAATACTAGCAACAAAATTTACAGCAATATAATTCGTTCAATAATTACCACAAAAAGAATATTCCTCCTTTATCTTTTACCAAATTGGCATACCATTCTAAATAAAATTAAAATTTTTATTCAGTTTAGTTTATAATAAAAATTAAATTATTAATTTCTATCAAATTTAGTTTGTATGACCTTCTGTTTATATTCAAATTAGACTTCTGAAGAAGAGGAAGAGTGCTCCTCAAAACGTTGAGAGATGAAAAATGTTTCAAAAATTTACAGAACCTTTCATTAAAATTACTACCTAAATTATGTTTTACATTTTTTTTTCAATACGTGTAAGACTGTGTAAAATAAAATCTGAACAAAAAATCTAATACTTATTTTAACAATGAAATATAATGATTTTGTTTAAAATTTTATTACATAGTTTTAAAAAAATACTTAATCTACCCGTAACATGGTACAGCTTCTCAAACAATGATCCCCATTTCAAAGAGGTTTTTATCCAGTTTCTTTTATTCATTGAGCAAATACTGTTATTGTCCCTTTTTTAACTTCTGGACATAAATGTAGCTTCACAATGCGTACGTTTTGTTGAGCAATGAGTACGTTTTGTACGTACGTACGTTTTGTTGAACAATAAGTACGTTTTCCTAGTAGTAGTGTGAGTAGAGTCGAGGATGTGTAACTCTTTTGTTAGCTATACAAAAAAATGCAGTTTGTTTTTCGATGCAAGTAAGTTTTGTATACCTCGGGAACGAAAATTTCTAGTTTTCAAAAGTCAGCATGATTAAAAGATTCTGGAGCTTAAGAAAACGTGCGCAATTTATACTTCCCCCTCATACGTGGCATACAGTTTTAATTGTTCTTTGACTAAATAAATCAAATCAAAGGAAACGAAAGCCTTTGGAAAAAATGTAAAGTTTGGATTTTGTAAGACCTAACTCGGTTTCCGGCGCGCACCGTTACCTCTGTTCGTTTTTATTAGTAGAACATAATGATCTCCTCTGGCCACATTCAAAATCCCCCAGGTTCAAAACCCACCAAATGCACGCATTGAGCGTTCATTGGCTGCCTTGAGTTGCAGGGCTATGGCACACCTTTCCCCTCCCATCACGGCTGTCGCCTCGCGTCCGCGACCAGTGGCAGTCTGTTGAGCAGCGCTTTTACTTCATTTCGCCGCGAGATCTACGGTGGAAATCGCCGCGGTAAGTGGCTCGCCGAAGCAAGCGTGCGTCATGGATTCTGCGGAGCACGTTGCACCAGCTTTTAAGAATCACCCTCCGACGGCCAAAATGGTTTGTGAGGCGATCGGGACGTTGAACGAACGGGGTGGGTCGTCGCTTCAGGCCATAAAGAAATACGTGTCCGTCAACTACCTACTGGACCCGCATCGAAGCGGCACGTATGTCACGAAGTACATCAAGAAGGCTGTGGCGTCCGGCGAGCTGGTGCAGACGAAAGGCCGCGGGGCGGCTGGGTCCTTCAAGCTGGCGCCGAAGGCAAAGGTGAAGCCCAAGGTCGCGAAGGCTATGGACGGCGACACTGAAACCGCCGCTGTGGCGCCGAAACCAGCTGCAACGAAACCAGCAACGACGAAACCAGCTGCGACGAAACCAGCTGCTACGGAACCAGCTGCAACGAAACCAGCAGCGACTAAAGCGGCAGCGGCGAAACCAGCTGCGGCGAAACCAGCTGCGACGAAAGCGGCAGCGACGAATCCGGAGGCGTCAAAAGCGGCAGCGACAAAACCAGCAGCATCAAAAGCGGCAGCGAAAGCGGCTGCGGCAAAGCCGGCAACATCGAAAGCAGCAGTGCCTATAGCGGCGGTTCCGAAACCAAAGGCAACGGCGGCGACGAAGCAACCCAAGAAAGAATTGAAGAAGGAATCGTAAAATGACCCGAAGAACGAGTGAAAGATAAAACAAAACAAAGTAGCAAAGTAGGCGTTCGAGAACGATGAACTTAGACTATTAGTGCTTCGATATGAAATTCAATAGCCGCCGATGTTCGTAGTTTTCGAAAATGTATAGCGTTTTCTTGGCAACTATATTAGATGGAAAGGAATTAGCCTACGAATACAGTGTAGAGTAATCCGAAAAGCAGGAGGTAGAGAAGAAACAATATTTCATGCGATCTATAAAGCGTTAAACATTTGAAGGGTTGAAAAGTGTATTTAGAAGTTCATTCAACAATTAAAAGCTCAAGAAAGAACTGAGTGTGGGATGAGTTGGTGTTTTTTTTTTCACAAGACTCTAGCAAAATCCTAGGTATAAAAAATGTGAAAGAAAACTACCCGTACTTCTTGCTAGATTTAGAGAGAAACGAACTAATAGAAAATTGTCAGTTCGCTAAAGCTTATGAAGAAATTTCTTCGGAATTAATCGTGAATAAATACATTGAAATATTATCTCCTCCCAAGGATGGCAATGTCAAATCCTTAGTTCCGAATCGTTGATACTGAGGCATGTGCTGTAATAGGCTGAAGAATTGATGCGGAGTGTATCCCTAAAATATAAGAGCGTGAAAATGTAGTGGAATAGTGTTAAATTTTATTAATTTTACCATTTTATCAGTAGTCTTGGATTGTTCAACGTATTGCATTGATTTTTTTAATAAAAATAAATTTGGAACTGTGAATTTGTAACATGGATTATTTTTAATTTTTATAAATAAATGTGATGTTTTTATTTGTGACTGGTTTCTCTTAAGCCTTTTTTAATTTCCCTTTAAAGAATCTTGAGCAGTTTTTGCAGCTAATTTTCGCAAGGTGAATTAATACAACCTAGTATTACAATTTTTTGTGCAGAGAGGATTTTGTTTGTAAAAGATATAGATTGGTTTATTTCGCCTTATCGGCTATTTAAAACGTACATTCACTTAAATTGTTTACATCTATAGGTATACTCTACTTACAAAATTAGTTTTCTTCTTTTATATATTTTATAATTTGTTATACTATTTAATTTGTTCACTTTTTGTTTCTATTGGTAATTCATTACATAATTCAAATCCTTTGTTAAATTGTTTATTTTTAGGTGTAATTTTTATGAAATTAATTACGAAATGTAAGGCTCGTCTTAAAACAAGGGAAATATCTTTCTTTCGTAGATTTTGTTCACTAAATTTCATGTTACTTTTAATTAATTTTTAAAAAATTGTCTAAGGAATTCTTTTATTGGCTTAAATTTCAGTACTGGCGTGTACTGGATGGTACTGGCGTGTATCTATTGAATTATTACTCTCGTGACTCTGTTTTATCTAAAGGTTTTTTGTAGAATGAAATTTTGTAGTCTGGAGTTGTATACAAAAGTTTCTTTAAACACTACTTTCTACAAATTGTTTAAAATATGAACTTTCGAATTTTTAGTGTTAAACTTTAAGGTAGCCTTTTCCAGAAAACGGATCGAATTTTCAATTTGAAAGTTTGCAACTGCTGCCGGAATACTAGTAAGTAGTGAAAGAATTTTGAGGTGCAAATTATGGTCGTAAAAGGGAGAAAAGGTTCTTAAAATGCATACCAAAAGATAGTTATGGAAAAACTAAGGTTTAAACCTGTTACATTAAATCAATTTCTAGAACACACTATTTTGCACCATCTTTTTCTTCCTTTTAGAGTCCGTAAGATGAGATTCGTAGTACTTTACCCGACACTGTAGTAGATACAAAACTGTTAAACAGTTGCCAGTGCTGACTGTACTTGCTTTTCCCGCGGAGCGCACAATGGAATGTACTACTTCGCAGGTGCGTCGAACCGTGCCCGCATGAGCACTTGCCAGCGTGTGACGCTTGGTGCCAGGGCCCTCTAACTCCCATCTAACGTGGTGGACACCATTACGGTGGCGCGCTCTGCTGCATCACCTTCTTTACAGGAACTAAAACACGAACTGCTGCCAACGATACTTGTGGCTGCTGCAACGATAAACGTGCGTGGCTGCTGCGTGAGTTCGCGGGTCGCAAGTAGGCCCATAATGTTACAAAAGATAACGCCTATGTTCTCGCTTTCTTCGGAGGTTTCTTGTAAGTATAGATTATGACTGAACATTTAGAGGACAGTTTTCGCATTTCTCACAAATTACTCAATTTGTATGTGGGAAAGTTGGCGAGCCTAACCTGCAGCTGCACCCGGCGACACTAGCCCTTCCTATAGGAGCACCCTTGAGCTTTGTCCCCGGTTTTGAGGGAGAGTTGCAGGGCCCTGCTTGGTGCTCTTGCGGACATAGGCCACTTCCCCCGACTACCCTCTCCTTTCCACTCCCAAGTCTATAAGTGCTCTTTTAGTATTGACGGCGACGCGATGGCAAGGGTAAACAACCTGATGTCACAGACCAGTGGATTTCTGCACACTAGTATAAATGTCCTGATTTGCCCGTCCCTGACAGCACTTTGAATCCATCGAGAAACGGTTAACTGTTGCAGCAACGCTGTTGAAATTTAAATTTGACTTTACAGCTACAGATTGACCATTGTTGCTACGGTATAAATTACTCGTGGTTTACGAAAAATATTTACTGCAATTTTGAATATTTTTAATGTTTTTAATATCTGATTAAACGAGATTTTAAAAAAGCAGTTCAAGAAGATAAAAAATACATTTTCTCACCAATTGTTCAAAAACTCAGAAAAGAATGGAGAAAAAAATTGACAAAATGTAGTAGCCTCCCGAAAAGGTACAAGAAGGTGGAGCAAATTGTGCTCCTTTCGCTTCATTTTATCCCTTCAAATACAGATTTGAAACCATTAGTATGGCAGATATCAGCTCCACAGCTATATTTTTGAAAAGGTGCTGCATATTAAAATCCTTTCACTACTAATAAATGTAAAGAAATTGCGGCATTCGTAATGCTTAGTAAATTATTCAGTAATGAATGTTAATTAATGCCAAAAATTTAATTTACAAAATATCTAGGAATTTAAGAAATATTTGAAAAAACCTTGAACATTTTTGTATACTGCAACTATGAACGAAATTAAGACAACAATTGATTGTATGTTTGGGCAAATGGTATATTTATCACATAGAAAGTTACAGGGGATTGCTAAAAGGGTTCAATAGTCATTTATGGAACGCTACATTCATCAAAACGAATTATTTTACCATTATTCTCTAAACATCATTCTTTACACAACACTTATAGATTCAGGAAAGATTTACAAATCTTTTTCTGAAACCGCTGCCATCATACCCTTATCCGTCTTCATTTCACACTCTTCCATCAAGTGTTTTGATGCATAGAAGCAATGTTATTTTTACTAAATTAGAAAGGTTATCCTGCAACCTGATTGTAGTACATTCTTCCAAAAGTTTGCGCCAAACAGTTGGGAAATTAGAAATTAAAAAGCATGGCATTAAAAACCAAAAATCGATTTTTTGGCTCGTGTTTCCCTTACATTCTTACTCAATCGCGTTCCTGTTATAAGACGGGATAATTAGTCTTGCTCTTACTTTCCTAATTTCCGCTCAATAAATGTGTTCCTTTTTTTATTTTCAGGTCAAGTTGTTCTATTTAATTCCCTTTTTTTAAATTTATTTCTTCTCTTTCGACCAAAGGTCTTTCGAGGGGTTTCGGTTTTACATACTGACATTTTGGGATTTAGGCATTCCTGACAAATTGAGATTAGATGCTCTGGCTCGTTTAATTCGTTTGTTTTCTTCTAGAAGCTGCTGGGATTTATTTTGATTTGGGGGGGGGTAAGCTGTTAGGATTGCCCTATCGAGGAATAGGAAAGGAACGTGAAAGATTCTATATAGAAACGGGATGATATTATTGGTTTAGGGAGGTTTAAGAATGTCTTTGGGAATTTGGATTTGATTCGGGTTGGAATGTTTGCTGTTTGACCTAGGTGAAATTTCAGAGCGGAATGAGATGAGGGAAGGGAAGAATAGAAATTATTTGCTACTTTTTTAATGTGTCCGAGCACTGTTTCCATTAGGAGTTCTCTATGAATTTGGTGGTTAGGTATAAACCATGAAGCTTTAGTTGACTTCCTGAGGACTTTATTTTGGACAATTGACATTTTTTGTATGGTGGTGGCAGCTGCGTTTCCCCACACTGGGCAACATAAGTTAGTGTGGGTAGGATAATATATTTATATAATGGAATCTGGCATTTGGTATTGAGTGTTGAATGTTGATTTATAAGAGGGTGTAGTTTTAATATTTTGGCATTGGATTTGTTGATAGCTACGTGAATATGATTTAATTCCTGAAATTAAAATGAATCTTTTATAGTTTTCAGGGAATGGCGTATGAACTGTCAAGTGCTCCCAGATTAAGTAACTAGTAGAGCTCTGCTTTCGGAGGAAAGCAACCGTCCGCGTTGTCGTGCTGACGCTTGGTGGGAAGGGAGACCTCGCTCCGAGGGAAGATCTCGGATTAACGATCTTTTCGGGGGACCGTCGACCGCCTCCCGGTTATGTGACGAACAGCCAAGCGTCGATGGCCGAGCAGTCGCTCCGTCGCCTCGGCATTTGTTTACATTTTTTATTTCATTTTACGTTTACATTTTTAGAAAAATGAAATAGAAGATCTTCTTGTGGAAAATGGACGAAAAATGAAAGGGGTAAACAAATGTAAATACCTTGGTGTACTTTTTAATAATAAGGGAAATAGCCATGACGAAATTGAGAGACGAATAAGCTTGGGGAGAAACGTGACACGAAGCATAAACTCTGTCTTATGGAACAAAACCATCATTAACACTACTAAAACTTTACTCCTCGCTAATTAAGAGTGTTACAACATACGGTTCAGAAGTTTGGGAGGTCGATAAAAGAACAAAAGGGAAGCTGCTGGCCCTTGAAATCGACTGCTGGCGTAGAAGTTGCTGTTATAGCAGACGTGACAGAATCAGGAACGACGACATAAGAAAGAAAATGGATGTAAAGAAATCTA